GTTTTTATTTCTTTTCATCTCCAGAAGATGTCTATCTTTAATAAATATATGTTTTTTTGCAGATCATTCAATGAAATGTGGAAAAATGCCCCTTTTTGACAAAAATGACAAGGGGTTAGCCCATCATTTTGGCGAAAATTAATGAATTTTGCAAAAGGGTCCGTTTTTAGTATCTTTTCATCCCTAGAAACCGTCTATGACCTCTGTCTATTCAAAATGTGTTATGCAGATCATTCTATGAAATGTGGAAAAATGTCCCTTTTTTGACAAAAATGACAAGGGGTTAGCCCCTCATTTTGGTCAAAATTCATGAATTTTCAAAAGGGTCCGTTTTTATTTCGTTTCATCTCCAGAAGTTGTCTATGACCTCTGTCTACTAAAAATATGTTATTGCAGATCATTCTATGAAATGTGGAAAAATGCCTCTTTTGACAAAAATGACAAGGGGTTAGCCCCTCATTTTGGTCAAAATTCATGATTTTTGCAAAAGGGTCCGTTTTTGGTATCTTTTCATCCCTAGAAACCGTCTATGACCTCTGTCTATTCAAAATGTGTTATTGCAGATCATTCTATGAAACGTGGAAAAATGTCCCTTTTTTGACAAAAATGAAAAGGGGTTAGCCCCTCATTTTGGCCAGAATTCATGAATTTTCAAAAGGGTCCGTTTTTATTTCGTTTCATCTCCAGAAGTTGTCTATGACCTCTGTCTACTAAAAATATGTTATTGCAGATCATTCTATGAAATGTGGAAAAATGCTCCTTTTTTTACAAAAATGGCAAGGGGTTAGCCCATCATTTTGGCGAAAATTAATGAATTTTCAAAACGGTCTGTTTTCGTATCTTTTCATCCCTAGAAACCGTCTATGACCTCTGTCTATTCAAAATGTGTTATGCAGATCATTCTATGAAATGTGGAAAAATGTCCCTTTTTTGACAAAAATGACAAGGGGTTAGCCCCTCATTTTGGCCAAAATTCATGAATTTTCAAAAGGGTCCGTTTTTATTTCGTTTCATCTCCAGAAGTTGTCTATGACCTCTGTCTACTAAAAATATGTTATTGCAGATCATTCTATGAAATGTGGAAAAATGCCTCTTTTGACAAAAATGACAAGGGGTTAGCCCCTCATTTTGGTCAAAATTCATGATTTTTGCAAAAGGGTCCGTTTTTGGTATCTTTTCATCCCTAGAAACCGTCTATGACCTCTGACTATTCAAAATGTGTTATTGCAGATCATTCTATGAAACGTGGAAAAATGTCCCTTTTTTGACAAAAATGACAAGGGGTTAGCCCCTCATTTTGGCCAGAATTCATAAATTTTCAAAAGGGTCCGTTTTTATTTCGTTTCATCTCCAGAAGTTGTCTATGACCTCTGTCTACTAAAAATATGTTATTGCAGATCATTCTATGAAATGTGGAAAAATGCCTCTTTTGACAAAAATGACAAGGGGTTAGCCCCTCATTTTGGTCAAAATTCATGATTTTTGCAAAAGGGTCCGTTTTTGGTATCTTTTCATCCCTAGAAACCGTCTATGACCTCTGTATATTTAAAATATGTTACTACAGATCATTCTATGGAATGTGGAAAAATGTCCCTTTTTTGACAAAAATGGCAAGGCCAAAATTCATGAATTTTCAAAAGGGTCCGTTTTTATTTCGTTTCATCTCCAGACGTTGTCTATGACCTCTGTCTATACAAAATGTGTTATTGCAGATCTCCTATAAAATGTGGAGAAATGCTCCTTTTTTTACAAAAATGTTAAGGGGTTAGCCCATCATTTTGGCGAAAATTCATGAATTTTCAAAACGGTCTGTTTTCGTATCTTTTCATCCCTAGAAACCGTCTATGACCTCTGTCTATTCAAAATGTGTTAATATAGATCATTCTATGAAACGTGGAAAAATGTCCCTTTTTTGACAAAAATGCCAAGGGGTTAGCCCCTCAATTTGGCCAAAATTCATAAATTTTCAAAAGGGTCCGTTTTTATTTCGTTTCATCTCCAGAAGTTGTCTATGACATCTGTCTACTAAAAATATGTTATTGCAGATTATTCTATGAAATGTGGAAAAATGCCCTTTTTTGACAAAAATGACAAGGGGTTAGCCCCTCATTTTGTCAAAAATTTATGAATTTTCAAAAAGGCCTTTTTTCATATCTTTTCATCCCTAGAAACCGTCTATGACCTGTGTCTATTTAAAATATGTTACTACAGATCATTCAATGGAATGTGGAAAAATGTCCCTTTTTTGACAAAAATGACAAGGGGTTAGCCCATCATTTTGGCCAAAATTCATGAAATTTCAGAAAGATTTTTTCTATTTCGTTTCATCTCCAGAAGATTTTTATGACCCCTGTCTACTCAAAATATGTTATTGCAAATAATTTCATGAAATGTTGAAAAATGCTCCTTTTTTTTTTACAAAAATGGCAAGGGGTTAGCCCATCATTTTGGCGAAAATTCATGAATTTTCAAAACGGTCTGTTTTCGTATCTTTTCATCCCTAGAAACCGTCTATGACCTCTCTCTATTCAAAATGTGTTAATATAGATCATTCTATGAAACGTGGAAAAATGTCCCTTTTTTGACAAAAATGACAAGGGGTTAGCCCCTCATTTTGGCCAAAATTCATGAATTTTCAAAAGGGTCCGTTTTTATTTCGTTTCATCTCCAGAAGTTGTCTATGACCTCTGTCTACTAAAAATATGTTATTGCAGATCATTCTATGAAATGTGGAAAAATGCCCCTTTTTGACAAAAATGACAAGGGGTTAGCCCCTCATTTTGGTCAAAATTCATGATTTTTGCAAAAGGGTCCGTTTTTAGTATCTTTTCATCCCTAGAAACTGTCTATGACCTCTGTCTATTCAAAATGTGTTATTGCAGATCATTCTATGAAACGTGGAAAAATGTCCCTTTTTTGACAAAAATGACAAGGGGTTAGCCCCTCATTTTGGCCAAAATTCATGAATTTTCAGAAAGATTTTTTCTATTTCGTTTCATCTCCAGACGTTGTCTATGACCTCTGTCTATACAAAATGTGTTATTGCAGATCTCCTATAAAATGTGGAGAAATGCTCCTTTTTTTACAAAAATGGCAAGGGGTTAGCCCATCATTTTGGCGAAAATTCATGAATTTTCAAAACGGTCTGTTTTCGTATCTTTTCATCCCTAGAAACCGTCTATGACCTCTGTCTATTCAAAATGTGTTAATATAGATCATTCTATGAAACGTGGAAAAATGTCCCTTTTTTGACAAAAATGACAAGGGGTTAGCCCCTCATTTTGGCCAAAATTCATAAATTTTCAAAAGGGTCCGTTTTTATTTCGTTTCATCTCCAGAAGTTGTCTATGACCTCTGTCTACTAAAAATATGTTATTGCAGATCATTCTATGAAATGTGGAAAAATGCCCTTTTTTGACAAAAATGACAAGGGGTTAGCCCCTCATTTTGTCAAAAATTTATGAATTTTCAAAAAGGCCTTTTTTCATATCTTTTCATCCCTAGAAACCGTCTATGACCTCTGTCTATTTAAAATATGTTACTACAGATCATTCTATGGAATGTGGAAAAATGTCCCTTTTTTGACAAAAATGACAAGGGGTTAGCCCATCATTTTGGCCAAAATTCATGAATTTTCAGAAAGATTTTTTCTATTTCGTTTCATCTCCAGAAGATGTTTATGACCCCTGTCTACTCAAAATATGTTATTGCAAATAATTTCATGAAATGTTGAAAAATGCTCCTTTTTTTACAAAAATGGCAAGGGGTTTAGCCCATCATTTTGGCGAAAATTCATGAATTTTCAAAACGGTCTGTTTTCGTATCTTTTCATCCCTAGAAACCGTCTATGACCTCTGTCTATTCAAAATGTGTTAATATAGATCATTCTATGAAATGTGGAAAAATGCCCCTTTTTGACAAAAATGACAAGGGGTTAGCCCATCATTTTGGCCAAAATTCATGAATTTTCAAAAGGGTCTGTTTTTATTTCTTTTCATCTCCAGAAGATGTCTATCTTTAATAAAAATATGTTTTTTTGCAGATCATTCAATGAGATGTGGAAATATGCCCCTTTTTTGACAAAAATGTCAAGGGGTTAGCCCGTCATTTTGGCCGAAATTCATGAATTTTCAAAAGGGTCCGTTTTTATTTCGTTCCATCTCCAGAAGTTGTCTATGATCCCTGTCTACTAAAAATATGTTATTGCAGATCATTCTATGAAATGTGGAGAAATGCCCCTTTTTGACAATAATGACAAGGGGTTAGCCCCTCATAATTCATGATTTTTGCAAAAGGGTCCGTTTTTAGTATCTTTTCATCCCTAGAAACCTTCTATGACCTCTGTCTATTCAAAATGTGTTAGTGCAGATCATTTCATGAAATGTGGAAAAATGCCCCTTTTTGACAAAAATGACAAGGGGTTGTTAACCCATCATTTTGGCTAAAATTCATGAATTTTCAAAAGGGTCTGTTTTTATTTCTTTTCAGCTCCATAAGATGTCTATGACCCCTTTCTAATCAAAATATGTTATTGCAGATAATTTCATGAAATGTTGAAAAATGCTCCTTTTTGACAAAAATGGCAAGGGGTTAGCCCCTTATTCTGGCTTAGATTTATGAATTTTCAAAATGGCTTTTTTTCATCTCTTTAAGATGTCTATTCAAACTTTGTAATTCAGATAATTGAATGAGATGTGGAAAATGCCCCTTTTAGTGAGACCCCTGTATATTGAAATATTTTTATTGCAGATAATAATTGATATGTTGTAGTCAAAGAAGTGAAGAAAAAATTGAAACGTTATAATTTCCAGCAAATATTCCATTGTTCAGCTTTGATATATATTGTTTGTGTATTGTATGTCTGTAAATATGTTTGTAAATATGTATAACATGTAAATATTGTGAAAAAATAAATCGTCATGGAAGAGGCAAACAGAGGGAAAAAAATGTTAAAACCAGAAAAAACATGGGAACAAAAGAAATTTGTAACAATTGCAAAATGAGTTTAAATATTTCTTCCTTTTTTATTCAAATAAAAACCTTGGACATGATTGGATATGATAAAACTTCTCTTTTATATCATCAATTCCATTGCATCCATATTTAGTGGCCTTATAATAAGACTTGTATCACCAACTTTTAGGTATCACATTTCATTATTCTAAATGCAAGTAATACATAAAGTTACATAATAAGAGTTATTCCTACATCAGAACATCCTTACACAAATGTCTGGGAAATCAACTTCTTCCAGTATAGTAAAATGTCGAATGGGTAATAAAATTCTCAAAGGGCTGTAAAAATTGTAAAAATTACTCCGGGCCAATCATCACACTGAAAAGGAGAATGTAATATACCGCACCTTTACAAAGAGAGTGGAGGTACATTTTATTGGTTTGTTCATCACAAGGGATAAATATACACATAGCTAGGCAAGGTCATAATAGAAAGAAAGAAAAGGAGAGAAGAACATGAATGGAGGAGGGGGAGGAGGGGGGGGGGGAGGGCACTTACACAATTTCCTCTCTTTGGGTTGCACCTTATCAGATAAGCATACCAGTGCTATCTGATTAATGTGTCATCACATATGGTTTGGAAGGTTTAAGAACTTACTGTACAAACTGTACAAACATACACAAGCCTTGGTCTGTATCTGTTTAAGAATCTTTGGAACATACCGGTTTGTACTCAAGGTGATTTAATAGCAGCTTTCCCTCTTCTTATTCAACTTTTAAAGCACAACCTAGTTCATCAGAGTTCAGTTAATGTGCAACAGATTAAAATCTAATGTGAATGAAGATTCACCTCAGGTCTTAAAGCTTGTTTCTAATATGCTGTTATGTGAGTACTAAATTAATAGGGGGGGGGGGGGGTGAAAAAGCAGCTGTGCGCAACAGAGTTCCTACATGTACTCATTTATCCGTGTGTTATAAGATTTATTTAAACAAAAAAGTGAAGCACAGGACTCCTCTGAACATACCATATTGTACCTGAGGTGATGTAATTGCAGATTTCGAATCTAAAATCACAAGTACATAAACTCAATCATTCTGCATGATTTCATTTCATTTACCTTCCATAGATCAACATCAATCGTAGATTCACTAAAACTTCACTAAAAGCTACACATACAGTTAACGACTGCATTATTCAAGTGTCATATTTTTTGTATTATGTGGAAAATGTATTTGTCCTGATTTATGTTTCTTCAGAATGTGACATATTAAAGCTTATATCAAAAAGAATTAAATGCAGGCCTTAATTCAACAAGTTAAAATGAAAACAGAAAAACATCAAATTTTCCAACAGGTATGAATAACTTTGTTGTACATGTTGCTGAAGATTCAAACACCAATCGCACGAAATCAGTTCCAACAAAGCCTTGATGGATATCTGCATACATGTAAGTGTAACATAGCTTGAGCCATGAACGTAGGTCACAGAGCACTCAGCTTATAATGTGTTTCTCATTAGTCAAGAGTATCCTTGTACATTGAAGCTAACTCCATCTAATGAACTCCCAGCCTACGTAGCCTCAAGCTATGTTGCACCTACATGTATGCAGACACCCATCAAGGTTTTCCTGGAACTGATTCCATGTGATTGGAGTAAGAATCTTCAGCACTATGTACTGTTAACATGCTAATTGCTATCCAGAGGCTCAACACATTACTGGTACTGTATTCTGACTTCCTTTTAAGTTCTGACGATGATGTACTCAATCCAAAACAACACAGTTCATTTGTCTACAACACTCTGCAATTATTCATGTCTTTTCAAATCAAGGTACATGTAAGTAGCAGGGGCACTTTGTTTTGCAAATAACCCATTAGCAAAGGTTAGGATTCTTCAACCACAATTTGTGCTGTACGGCTTGGTATTCAATTAATGCTTGGGTTACCCATGAAATACTGACCCTGAGAATAATCTAGTGCAAAATCCATGAAAAGATGAAAGCTATTTTACTTGAAAATGTGACAGTCCTTAATTAACAATTTACAGACGGCACAAGGCTATACAAAAATATGTTCTGACATGGGAGCAGGTGTCAGTTTAATCAATGTTGGAAATTTTTTTATCGCAACCATTACAAAAAAAAAAACCAAGGGCAATTTCAATGCTGTATGGATAACATAATAGAATGTCATGGTCATGTTTGCACATTTCAATAGGTGATGCACAATGCTATTGAAATTGGCTGAGGTTGAATTTTAGAAAGTAGTTGATATCGTGTCGAGAGTTGGATATCTCTGATCACTAGCAGTTCTTGGATCAAACATTTCTTGTAGATTGATGATTTAATGACCATTTTAGTTCATTTCAAAACAGTCTAAAGATACAGTTCATGTGGTCATTCTGGGATTTATCATAATTTTAGGATAGCTCTATCTGCTCTTTTCTTTTGTTTCCTCTTCTTAGTCTGGAAGTTAGCGGTCGCATCGGCGAAGAGTTGAACTTCATTCTCGGCTTCTAGCTTGTCCTTAAGGAACTGAAGACCGGCTTGATTGAAGCCTATGGTGTCCTGGAAATAAAAAAAAGAAAAGAAAAAGTAGTTTAATTGTTCTGCATGCCTTCCAAAAAACAGGATAGCAATCAATAAAACAGTGGCATATCCTGTTGAATGGTAAGGCAACCCTGGCATCAAGTTTACTATATGAACGCACACAAATTAATGAAGTGGGTTGAATCTTGGCGATGGAAAGTTAAATGAATAAAAATAGAAGAAGAATTGCCTCAGGGTATCGCATTCAGATTATCGTTGCAACGTTTGCATAGCAGAATAGGGGACACACAAGACAACTGAAATTGCCTCTGTATGACAGTCTTTCCAATCCTTTTGGATTTACCTTTTAAGACCTGTTGACCACCATAAAACCTAGCAAGTATGATTGGATATTTCAAGTACAATTAACTACAATTACTTGACATTTATAACAGTAATAAAAAATAAGATACTGCAGGATATATTCCATCCATAACTTACCCTTAGTCTTTTAGCCTTTGTTAATGTTGTCTTTCTCAGTCTGTCTATCATGGGTAGGAGTGTTTGATTAGACGTTATCTGACCATGATGTATCCTATGGTAAAACACAAACACAAATCATAATTTAACTTCAAATTATATTCGTACATGTTGTGGTTGACCGCACTTAATGACCACCACTGTTTTAAATAGTTGAATACTTAGCAAAATATATCTTTGGACATTGCATGCTGATTTCTAACTTGATTTTATTTAAAGAAGAAAATGAGAGAGACAGATCAGTATTAGGTTGGATAAAATTCTGAGAACATATGAGAAAGAATGAAGAGGAAATAAAAACGGTAACAGAAATATAAAAAAATGGTATGAAAAAGCTCATCAGTTAAAACCCATCAAATGGAAATTAGCAACATAAAAACTTTCACTGATCAGCTGCTCCTATTTTTATGCATAAATTCAAGTCACCTTCATTCTTTAATTGACTTTCCCTTTATCAAGATTAACACAAGAAACCTGATTTGCAACTAACCTAAGCAAGAAGAAAAGACATCTACAGGCCAGCTCCACTTCTCTGGATTCTTGGATGAGTGTCTCTAGGATGGGTAGTAACTGAAGAACATAGTCTAGAGGCAAGACTAGTAAGCTTTCTTCCAGTTCACTGAAATCAAATACACAGTCAAGGATACATGTATTATTCATCACATTAACATTTACGTCAGTCTTTAATCTACCACTACTCTTGTAAAAATAAAAGATCCTCCCAAGTCAGACATTTAACAAAACAAAAATTTAAGTTATAGTCATTTTGTATTGTAACAACTGGGAAAGTTGTCCGCCACTACATATACATCAAAGAGACCTTACTAATCTAAGTTTTGTTGAAATGCTTTTTAAAACTGAGCTTGTAAAACTTGCAATGTAATTTAAGCTCTCGGGCTAACATTTTGCAGTTGTTCTAATAAAACCATTATACTACTACTACTACTAATTTAGCCAAGTTGAAGAGCCCATACCTATAGTGATTAAAACTTTCAGAAATTTGTAACTATCTCATCTTTTGTCCAATTTCATTCAAACTTTCACTCTTTTACTTCTCTGATTTTTCTATTTTCCTCTAGGGTAGTTTGCTATTATTTTTGGATTTCCCTTTAAGAATGATATTGTCTTTATTGAGAGGGATTCCTTGGGCATTAGGTTATCATGTGAGGCTTAAATCAATTTTTCAATTTCAATTTCATTTATTTCCACAGATTCATAAAAGACAGTATAAATTACAATCAAATATAAAAGCATTACAACAAAAGATGAACCTGCAGAGGGGGTGATCAAAAACCACAGAGGTTTATCGGGGATCATCCCCTGCTTAAAATTACAATATCAAATTACAATAGTTTTTTTAAAATTAAACAATAACACATACAAAAAAAATATATAGATATTACATGCAAATCTATGTGTGGGGTGAGTAGTAGTGGGTTGGTGGTACCAAGAAATACAATATATAGAGGAAATGAATGATATACAGGAAAGAAATAGTGAGAAATACAGAAAGAAACACCGTACAAACTAATCAAAGTACCTTGATTTTATCTTCTTGATGACTTCTCCAACATATCTGAGGGGCTGTAAACAACGAGACAGGAGAGAGAGAGAGAGAGAGAAGAACAATTATACTTCAGTAACACTACAATTTGCATCACCACCACCACCATCAGTAGTATCATCATCATCATCGTCATTATCATCATTATCAATAGCATCATCATCACTGTAACTATCTCTATCATTTTCGGATGCAGACTTGACCTGTAAATTGTTTTCAAACTCTTTTATTCATGCCTAGATACAAAATATTTGTCTGAATTAATACCATAATTGTCATAATTATAATCATTACTACCACAATAACCAGAATCAACAACATCATTATCATGAATAACAATCTCTATGCAAGATATCAAATAGCATGATGTACCTACAGCAAGCATAACATAACTGTAAATGAACTCACTGAAATCAGTATACTTACAGTTAGGTTTCCAAATGCCATGAGAATAGGATGCTTGTCTGGGAGTGGGAGCTGGTAGAGATTGAAGAAAATACAATAAATTATACAAGATTGTAAATAATAATGAAATAATAAAAATAATAAAAACAGTGCTCATAAAGCGCTTACCACCATGCGCTAACGATGAATGCAGTAAATAAAACATACAAGGTAAATGTTCAGATCACTCCTGTGATGTCTTCTCTATTAAGAACTGTTGCGCTCTTTATTGCTTTACTTCTTTCCTGCCACTTGTATTTTTCATTATAATCATCAACCTTCTGCATTGCTTTCTGGTAATGTTATGTATGATTTCTGTTAATTCATCTTTATCTCCTTTTTTCCCATTCATCTTTATCTACATCTGTATATTATTATTTTCATTATCTTGCAGGTAAGACTGCATCTTTATAATAAAAAGATTCAGTATCAATACATTTTTTTTGTCTCTGCCTCTCTCTCATTTTTGTTACTCCCCTCTTTACCATGACTTTCTTCTCAATCGATCTCTTCAACTCTCTCTCACCTTTTTATTTTTTTTCTCTCTTTCTCTACCTCTAGGTGTCTGTCTTTTTGTCTCTCCCCTTCTTTCCTTACCTCTTTTCCCGCTGTTTCACACCTCTCCTTATAATCTTCCATCTTGGCCATCTCTTCCTGGTATAAGTTGAGTGCTTCCATCAGTCTTTCTGCTCCTCTCAATGTCTCCACTGTTCTCTTCTCTGGTAGGGACACCTCTCCTCCAGTGGGCTCCCCTGCAATCTGTTTTGAGACATAAGAGGTACAAATAGTGACCCTAGCATATAAACTAGATGAGATTTCAAGGAAAATATTGTCTATTCTGAACCAGAGCAAATCTACTAAAATTGGGGATTCGTAGAATAAATTTGTATCTTTAAGACTTGGCCATTCTTAGCCATAGGTCCCCTGGCCTCGTCAACAAACCTACATTTGCTTTCCTAGTAAACAGGTAAAATGAAAACATCAACATTATCATCAGATGACGACAATATATTCTTACCGGTTGTTCTTCTTTATTTAGACTCTCTTCATACTTTCTCTCTCTCTCCATTTCTTGCTCTTCTTCCAAGACGATGGGCTCCTCTGTCTTCTCCCATGTCCGCAGTGATTTGTCATGAGACGCGCTCACCTGATAAATCACATGATACAAACAACAACATAATTAATAATAATATTGGATAGTTTTTATAGCGCACATATCCATCACACAAGGTGCTCCAATGATACCCAGGATCTGCTAGGCTACCAAATTCAGTGCTCACAGCATTCAAAGAATTCCTACCTACCGGTGCCTATTTAACACCTGGGTGGAGAGTGGCAAATGGACATTAATGTCTTACCAAAGGACATTAGTGCTATGGCGGGACTCAAACCGTGAACCATGTGATCCACAGTCCGAAGATGTATCCACTAGATCACAGCACCTCTATGTAACATCAATGGAAAGAATTTGGCAGAGAGGATGTATTGCTTGTTAGTGGTGACCTGTTGCCTACTGATTATCCCACTCCCATGGAGCTAAAATAGGAAACGCAGGCTTCTTGTAGGCAATAGTTTTATGACCTACTATGCTGCATCCTAGTTTTGCTCATGGTGCATGTTATCGATAATGGAAGTAGCTGAATCTGCATCCATCTATCACAAAAATTGCATTAAAGCTTTAAATAAATTACTAATTGGTAAGGCCGATTCAAGACTCCTGTCAGGTTATTTGATATTTATGAAGACATACAAGACCTCTAAAATACTACTTAAAAGCTCACTGAAGATAGCAACATATTCATTGGATACCATACCACACATTGTTTTTAAAACATATAATGCTGAAAGAGTACCAAGTATACTTAGAGCTTATTTGCAGATGGTTACTTACCATATAGCTTCCATCTGGACTGATAGTCATACACCATACTTCACCATGATGACCCTGTAAGTAAACAAAAAAGTGTGCATAATCATTATTCATCAAAATACATACATGTATGAATCTTAAACATGCTCACTTCAATTGTAGAAAATAAATTCATCCTTCCAGCCCAAACCAACGACTCACTAAAGAGTATTTCTAAGCTAGCATCGCAACATCCACACTCTAAACACGAACTAGACTTCTCATCATGTGCATTGTTAAACCTGGTGTTGTAGTGCACTTGTTTATCTGAATCTTACAATCTGTAAAAGAGAAGATGCTGATGAATAACTATAAACATGTTTCAATACTTTTTTCTTGTAGGAACACAAAAATATATATCCATAATGAGGTATATGAGGTTTGTCCTCATGAAACACATTACTTGTCTCAATTAACAATGAACAAAATCTGAGTTAATGAGATATAGTACCTTAAGTTTTTTGTATGAAATTCATTGGAATACAAGTGATACAGTTTCTTTATTCATTTTTTTTTTTTTGGGGGGGGGGGGGGGGGGGAAACAACAAAGAGAATGCAAAATAAAACTTATGATAACTGTGTCTACCTCTAATGTAGTAATCTGTTGGAAGTGATCCCCATCCCATTGTTTGAGCTTGCCATCCTTGCCTCCAGTGAAGAAGAGATGTGTACCGGGTAGGAACTGAACACACATCACGCTGTCATCATGAGCAAACAAGGACTTGTGACAATCACCAAAATCCAGACCCCATAGTTTGACGTTCCTGTCAGCTGATCCAGTCACAAGCAAGTTACTATCCTGTAATCAGTGAGAAACAATGGTCAAGGTGGTTATGAATGATGTAAACTGTATACACATCACACAGTTATTATGAGCAAACGTAAACAGTATAACACTTTCCTTTTGTCAAATGTTAATTTTTTACTGCATTTCAAGGAAAAAGTTTAAACAGGAACAGGGATCTTAAGAAAAACGCCTGAAGTCAAACTACATAATCATGATGAAATGATATGTGAAGAAAAAACTTACTGAAGAGATGTCCATGCTGAGTACTGGTAACTTGTGACCATAGAGAGACAGGAAGAACTGAAAGTGAAAAACAAAAAAAAACATACAGATAAAAGAATGCAAAATAAGTGTTATTTCATTTCGTTTATTCAAATCAACATCAATATAAGGATACCTTTCATCTTATTTTTGCATCATTGACAAATAATCATTATCCAAATTTACTAGCATAATCACCCCATTAGGGTACAAACAGGACATTTTGTACAGCTTTTTGGATATAAACAATGCAAATTGTGAAGCAATTTGACTGAATGATGAAGCAGTTGGCTAAAGATCAAATCACTTGGGGAGACACTTTTTGGATGAGATGATAGGAACAGTAGTAAGTCTGTGCTTGAACAGATCCCTGTTATAATGACCATGATGATGACGTTGATGTTTTTCATGACCAACATCCTCATTATCATTAAAGGCATCGTTTAACAATGTTAAATCTGAGATTCATGGCCCTAAGTGTTATCAGTGTCTGTGATATGGTGTAATATCGAGCTCTCAAAAAGTAAAAATCTTTGAGTGACCGGTTTTACCGTAGTCATTCTCCCCAATAGACTGTAGTGTTATAAAAACCGTTAAGAAAACAAAAAAATTGATTTCTTCATCATAAATATCTTGATAATCAGACAAGCGATCGGTTTGTAAAAGTCATGGGATTCCTGACTGACCTAAAGGTTTATAATTATGATTACGGCATGAGCTAAATCCAGGGTTTCGTTTCAGAATCTGAGAGAATGTTACCAAGTCACTTTAATAACTAGTCATATCAATGTATACCTTGAGAGTATCAGCAAAGAAGACCTTGACAGTGCTATCTAGGAGCGATGCGGCTACTAGTCTACCATCTGGAGAGTACTTCACACACAGCACATCATCAGACATCTTCAATGTCCTAGTGTGAATGATGCTCAACTCACGACTACACAAAAACAAATAAAAAACATGGGCAGAAAATAAAATTATAGTATTCATTACGTGATTAGAAGGTTGATCTACGAGTATTCAGCTTGATTAATGAATGACAATGTACAGAGTATTTTCGATCTCACAAGCAAAATTTTGATTAGACATCTATGTGATGGTACCCCCAGACTAAATTGAAAACCGTTTGAATTTAATGTAATTCTAAGATTGAATGACTCATTTTAATTAATGTAAAATTGACATGTTCATATTTGATGGAAAGAAGAAGAATGCACAAGGTCTGTTGCAAATAAACATAGCGGTACAACTGCTACTATGTGTCGAAGAGAATAATGAATATTTGGTGTCAAATAGCAATATGTAATAGGGTTGCATTCAATAATGCACCATATACTTACACAGTTCTGCCTTCATCATTCTCGGAGCTCACAAGTTCAAACTCCCAGAACTTCAGAGTCTTGTCAGCACTACCTGTCACAAAGCCCCTCTGAAGAACAAGAGAAAAGCGTACACTTATTAGCACATTTTTGGCAAACACCTCAAGAATAAAAACATGTGTTCTATCTTTACGATGGGAAAGAATGCTTGATAGCATCGATATAAGGGAATCTCCATTCTCATAAACAAGTAAAGTATACTTTTCTCCTATGAACATTAAAGCCAGTCTGCACTAGTTTGGCCAGGGGGGATTAGACCTCCCTGCAAGGTCTCTGACAGGTGGTTATCTCATCAAATCAGCTCTCAATTAACATAAGAAAAAGGGGATCGTGGGGGATCAACAGGCACTGATAAGGCATTGTTTGCTATATCGAGAGGGCAATTGGTGAAAATGCTAAATTTTAACAAGATAATTTATAATATACCTGTAAAGAAAAATATAAAACATAGAACGTTACCTTGTCTGGTGAAAGACAAATAGACCAAATGGCGCCCTCGTGAGCCTCAAATGATTCAGTCAAGGAACCAGATGCGATATCAAACATTTCTAGTCGACCAGCCTGCAATGATTGAATTGAAGGAAATAAAGAGATAAAAGAAATCATAATTAATGGGAATGATTCACTGCATATTATTTTTATTCTATATATCTGGGGTTCCAGGATAAACCGTGCTCTGTAAAGAGATTTTGCAAAAATAAAGGTAAAATTCCTTTGAGAGCAGACTAGTTTCTTGCTGTAAATTATTAAAAAAATTAAAAGTCTGTTTATTTTGTATTGGTTTTTGTTCTGCTTTGCACTCCTTTTTTTGGGGGGGGGGGGGGGAATTTTACATCTTCCATCGATGTTCCTGGATTAGACATTGTATTTTTGATAGCTAAATCTAAATAAGAGTCTCACCTTGTTACCCACAATGCAATGCCTGTTACCTGGAGCAAAGACAGATGACAAGGCATGGCCACAACTCATGGTTCGAATACATTGCTGGGTGGATCTGAAAGGACATATTAGAACACATATGAATCATATGAATGTGAAAGAAAACAGACAAGAAAAAGATCAGAAAAATATGTAAAAAGTGAAGAAAAAAATGGAAAAGAAGGGAATGAGAACAATATTGTCAGCATAATTCCCCTTAATCGCCTAAAGCTACTCATAATAATCAGTGCTAACAATGAAATGTTACGATGGGACTAACTTTATTAAGAACCTTATTAGAAGAAAAAGGCAAAACAGCACAATCATATGAATGTGCTTATAACAAAGAAACAAATGAAGAAAGGAGGAAGAAAAGCATCCTTAAAACATCATATAATACAATTTTGTTATTAAAAAAAGAAGACTGATAATAGCGACAGCCTCACCTGTTCCAGATCTTGACAGCATTTCCACCAGCAGATAGCACAGCTGTGTTATCAGAGCTAACAGATACAGTCCTGACGTCATGACGATGACCTGGCAGACTGATACAATTTTCTTTACTAGCTATAGGTTTATCTGCTGTAAGATCCACCTTGTATACCTCTAGGCTGTTATTATGTAAAAGGGTCACCACGCTCACTTCTCCATTGGCATCCACATGAGAGTGAAAGGACCTGAATGTGCACATGGGAGTAAAGAAATGTCAAATTCTGTTATTTGACAAAAAAAATCTCATTATGATAAAGCTGCTCTTATTGAACTAAAAAAAATGAAGTGATCACATTTAAAAAAACACAATCTTCTGCAATATACTGTGTAGTCATGAAGACTTTGGGATTTCCTTTTATTCCTTTGCTATTGAGATCTGATTGCAAACACAGGTATTGATCAATATTGGATTCACCCAAGTCAGTGATGTCTAAATGTGAATATTCGACCTCTTCTCTACACAATTCTCTACAAAACGCAAGAGGAAAAATTGTAGATGGAAGAGAAATTTGCTTTTATTCCAGATTGCAATAGAGTAAAAATGATTTGCAAGTTAATTAAGCAGGAAAGGGCACTAACCTACCTCATATTTCTCTTTATGAGGAAGACAGATGATGAGTTTTATCAGAGCCATCTACACACAGTTTGGCTGACCCGGTTCGAGTTGGACACAATATGGCGACTACTGCTTTGTTGGGCAAGCACAAAACAAAAGAATATACGCCATATTGTGACCCAGTGAAACCCAGTTGGCCAAACTCTGTATAAAGATGGCTATGAGTTTTACCTGAGTTTGGCTGAAGCCTTGATGTTAGTAAGAGCTTGTATCCTATCTTCTGCTGATAGCTTGACGTTAGATACATCTACCTCCTCACCATCCTCACCTCTGTACAGACACATTTAAAAAATCAATTGAACATATTCATGATGAGGCTGAATATTCATGATAATGCTGAATATTCATGATAATACTGAATATTCATGATAATTCCCAAAAGGTTTATAAAAATAAATACAGGTAAAAAGAGAAACAAATGGTTTCTCATTTGTGGATACATCTACCGTATTTGTGTATGAGTAGAATTTATCAACAAACCAATTATTTAATTTCTCATATATCATTTCACAAGATGTCTAAATGTACTATGTCTTCAGGCCCTTTCATGCATAACATCGGAGAATTTACAAATAGTGTGATAAACAGCTAAGTGCAAGCAAATATGAAATAAATTGAGAAAGAGTAGCAATGTTTCAATGAAGTGCCATTCAGTAGTATATTCCAACAGAAAAATTATCAGTCCTTGTCCATCAAGTACTTGATGTCTTCAGGTAATGGTTATTGGGAAAGAAAAGTTGTAAGCAAGGATTATCAGTCAGGGGCAAGGGAGACTTTCCACTATAGTGTTGCATATATGGTAGCAACTTAATAAACACTGTGGAGAGGGGGATACATACACTCTGCATGATATAATAATAGGACATTTTTATTCAATAAAACATAAGTTCTTAAAGATATAGACTGGTAGCCGTAAAATTGCGGTTCAAGGGATTTGGGAGCGAAATATCCATTCAATATTGCTTAAATATTGCCTTCAGATGTTTAGATGGCAATACTTCAACCTAAATTTGAAAAATAGTCTAAATATATGCCCAAATGTTCAATGTTGAAGTGCGTTCGCGATATCTAGCCAGGCCAGATCGATATGATAATTTACCAAATATATCAATTAGTAGGCGGTTTCCCGGCAAAACTTGTACCATCATGTATTAGTCAAAACATATTCTTTCACATGATTGGTAATGAGACCTACCATTTCATTTTTTGAGAGGGGGGCATTTCCAAAACTGGTCTATACCTTTAACCCTTACTGTACTGGGCTATTTTGAGCACCCACTGACTGGGGGGGGGGGGGGGGGGGGGCCTGAGAGGCCCCCCCCCCCTATGATCTCGGCCGTCGATTGTCCGATGAACACGAAAATGTGCATGTTTGTAGATATTTACGTAAGGAACAAGATGGTATAATTAGTTTTTTCTGAATATGCAAATTTTTGTCGTTAGCCTAATTAATTATGCAAAATGCGCTAATTTTATGCATTTTACAGAAAACGGTGTCAAACTCCACTTTTTGAATGTTGAAACTCATTATTCATATGAAACTTCTTTTCTAACACAAAAAAGTTATTTTAATGTAATTAATAATGATAATTAATGCAAATTTTGATGCGATTTTAAATTTTAAATTTTTTTTTTTAATGACATGCGCATACTAATTGTTATGTAACGCCTTACAGGTATATCCGATTTCGACGAAAATGGTATCAAAATGTGCGTAAGACTTGAGGGAAAAAAGTCATGAAACGACAATTCAAAATTCCAAGCGGTTGCGGCGCAATCTTCGAAAATGTCGAGGGGGGGGGGCCTCCCAGGCCCCCCCCCCCCCCCCCCCCCCCAGTACAGTAAGGTCTATCTCATAAGTCACATGCTGCTGGGTCATGTATTCATACATAGTTATTAGTTAACATAACTCAACACTTGCCTTGCTTTCTTTCTTTCTCTCTTCTGTTTCTTGAGTAATTTCTTCTTCAGTTCCTGAGGTGTGCACACCTTGAAGAGTTCTAAATGGGGACTGGGACCCTGGAAGATAGATAACAAGATTAAAGTAGTACGTCAGTAGGATAATAATAATAACAATAATCTGGATTTTTATAGCGCTTTTACAGATATTATGACCCCAGTCATTGGATTCATTCACACACAATGTGCACCATCTCCACTCCCTGGGGAGTATTCCTAACATGTGTTCACCGTGAGGGCATAGGCAATTACAAACACAAATGCTTTTTTTATCCTACTGGGTCCTCATTTTTCTCTTGTGTATTGAGTGGCAAATGTAGATTAATGCCCTGCCAAAGGACATTAGTGCCACGTCGGGATCAAACACCAAGACATTTGAATGTCGAGTCAAGTGCTTAAATCACTCGACTACGATACTTCTAGATAGTTTTTGGTCCTCCGAAATGCACTCTTGAATGCCTAGACTTATTTGTTGACATTTAAAAAACCACACAACAAATGACCATAACAGAAAATGGCAACTCAAAGTATAAATCTGTATGGTCATATTTCAATCTTAAATGCTCTCAGAAATCTGTACATATATAATGTTGGCCTCCAAAGGTTTAATCCATACTTACATGACAGCCTAGAATTCTGCCTGTAGAATCAAGGTAAAGAGATACTACTCTGTCAGTTCCCTTTCTTAGGATTGTTCCTGCTTTGGTACAGGTCAAAATACTCTGTAGAGGGTGAGAAGAATAATCATAAACATTGCAATAATCATCTAAACAAAATATTAGTCAATACAAAGCCTTCATGTATCTTCTTGCGTAATTTTCAAAAAGATTATGTAATTCTATTGTCGAAATAACACACTATTTACAGAAATCATGAGAACGTAGCAGTCAGTAATTTTTAGCGTTTTGTATCTGCAAGGAAAATGTACTACACCAAATACTCTGTGGCTTGGATTGGGTTGGACATATTATTGGGCCAATCAATTATGAACGACATATTTTTTAGCACTCGCATAACCTCATAAAGTTACCTAGCTTAGGATGAGCCTTGAGGATGACAGTAAGGGGGATGGAAGGGAGGGAGAGGAGGGAGGGGGAGGAGTGAGGGGATACAGAAGACTTGCTCAGGGAATGAATGCTAACAAACAAGGTCATCAATGTGGGGAAGATATCCCTTTCTTTCAACAATCTGTTTCCTCTCTACCTGTCTTTCATTTTTCATTTCGCTATTAGACAATCAGTAACATAAACAAATTACAGTGAAGACACTTACATTGTCATCTCCTTCCTCTCCATCTTCATCATCTTCATCGTCCTCCTCATCTTCTTCACTCATTCTCCTTCTTGGTTTCTTAGCAGGAGAGGGTCCTTTGCTCTCTTCATCCTCATCTTCAAGCTGGCACCAAAAATAAGAAGAAACATTAAAAGACTTCAACTTGATAGTCAACATTAGCAAAATTGTACTATTGTGTGCAACTTTATAAATAGTTACATGTTATCTGATATGTGACTTCACTGCACATTTGCATAAGGGAGTTTGGTTTTAATATAACAAGACTTTCCCATTCAATCCTCTCATGCGTCACAATATGAGAGACTTTGATAATGTGAATTTAATTTGATTACATGTACAGAGAGCTGGAATTCTGTTTATTCTTGAGTTAAACTTTCAAGAGCGAAAGACAAAAGCTTCTGTATATCTTTCCTTGCATCCATTCTTTAATTTTGTAATACGTTCTATTTCATATTCTATCCTGCAGCTCCTGTGTTATGAGATAGCAATTTAACTTAAGAGACAAAATAACAACAACAACAAGTTTTGTGAAAGAAAATGAAGAACATACCTCATCTTGAAAGGCAATGTCCCATACTTGAAGATCACTGCCTGATGTTCCTGTCACTAGCCCCTTGTCTTCGGCTAGAAGAGCAAAGTCCCATACCTGAAATCACAAGACAATGCAATCAATCAATCTAGTTATGAAGCTGTAGACAATGATATAAAGATGGAGAGAGGAAGATGGAAAGAATTATCAAGAAGTCCATCTTGTTAATTATGATATCTACAGTTCTGCATAATATGGATATGACATGAGTTACAGCATCATTGTACTTTGACAAAAAGCACCTGGGAAAGTAGAACTCCTTATATTGAGTTATTCATTGACTGTCCTCTTCCAACTAGGCCTTTTTTATAAACCGGTAAAAAAGTTATGCTTACAAAGTTTACCCTTTGTATCCTTTCTCAACAAGTGTACTCTGATGGTTTCAATGACATTAGTTCCTGGAGAGCAGTAATTACACCTCCAAACAGACAAAAGTATAATATATCATCTGCCTACATTATGCTTACCTCACTTCTGTGCCCAACCAGAGTCTTGAAGCAGTGCTGTGTGTCTAAATCCCAGAACTTTACAAAGGTATCCTTAGAACTATGGATAAAAGGGAAGATGAGCAATACAATGTCAATCTCAACACAAACATTATTTCTTCTCCTTTTTTGCAAAACAAGTTTTCACTTTGTACGTGTGCAGAGAGGCAAAACACAGAAAACTTGTGACTTTTTATTCAACTGGTTTTCTTCCATTTGTGTGTCTTTACAAAGGGTTTAACCCAGATTTATCACTGTATATAAGTCTTTGACCAATTAAAAACCTTTTTGAAGATTTGAAGATAATCTTTAAAAGCAAAATGTAATGAGAGAATAACAATGGTAATCTATTCTCTCTATTTGTAAGCTTTGTACGTCTTGTTTGTTAGATATTTGGAAGGGATCATAAAATCATACAGTGTTTCATTCTATGAAGCTGAATCTTTGCCATGTATGAACTAAAACTCTCTACAGTGTAGCTACCAATACCCTTTTAAGAATACAATTTCCAAATTTTGGATTTAAAAATTCTTGTTAATCTTTCAGTGTAAGCAGTAAACCTTTATTTACTCGCCCATAAGTAAACATAGCATCTCTATAAAGTATAAACAACACAGAATGCTATGAAGATGCTCACCTAGAAATGACGATGTTGTGCTGTGCCATGAAGCTCACCCTAGTCACCATACCACGATGACCTTTCAACCTATACAGACCGCTCTCGTTCACTACATCCCAGATGATAACATCAGTGTCCTGCAAAATGAAGTCATGAATTGGAGGGTGGAAGGAAGAAAATGAAGAAAAAAAATGCAGTTTATACCTCATGGTTACATTCACACATTACGATTAACACTACCACTTTCTGATTTATATTTCAGAAATTCCTTCTAATCATTCTGGATCCAGTGTCTCCATTTTTCTCTCTGTAGATGTGACTTGACCCATTGACCACTGAATTCTCTAATTCCCATAGGCTTAATACATGGACCGCCTGGTACCAGTAAGCAAAGGGTTAACAAGTGTTGTTCAAAATCAGTTACCATGTAGAACAATAAAGGAGCCTTATTTAATCCAATAAACATGGATAAAACAGTATCTGAGCTAATTTCTTGTTCATCGAGAGGTACATTCTAACTAGCACATCTATGTTTACTGTGCTTCCAGAAATTGTCCAAATCATATCATTTAGAAAACAAGAATTTAAAAAAAGTTTGTAACTGAGATAATTGCTCACCTTTGACCCTGAAGCAAGACGTAGGGCATGGTCGTCAAAGTGCATGGTGGACACAGCTGTCTTGTGTCCATTGAACGTCACGATCTCATCTCCGTTATCACTGTCAAAGAGCTTGATAGATCCATCAGAATAACCTACTGCAATGATCGGACGAGCGTCTGTCTGGGCAAGGGCAGTGACCTCATGTTTGCTGCCCTCAAGTACTAGTACCTATACACAGAATGAAAGGAAGATGTTATGAGTACATAATGCAAAATAGATGTTGATGAATGCTGAAGTAGAAATGTATGAATGAATTAAGAAGTGATAAATTAATGTTTTAAACATGTAATTTTTTTCAGTGTCAGAAAAGAGATAGATAGATAAAAGAGATCACAGGTCAGATAATTTCCCAAAAGGTAGAAAATTGAAATAGAAATACATGAGCACCTATGTATCAACTTATTTCAAGTTACTGTTTATAAAGCCCATAATGAAAGTTCAAACATCTTAGAATATTTCCATCCGCTGAGAGCCAGAAGGGCATAATAACTGTGAAATGGCACAATACCCTTCTGACTTTCTGGAGATAAAATTGCCAAGTAATCTCTGGAAATAAAGTTACCAAGTGATCTCTGGAAGATGCTCCAAATATGTGGTTCTAATTTCTATTATGTTTGTTGGGCATATCCACAAAATTAATGAAGTTCTATGCTCCTGATTGAACATTTGTTAAATGTACATTTTTAAGGGGAAAGGGCATTGTGAGTTTGAAAAGGGTTGACTTGGCCCATCTCCATGAGCCATTTAGTATTGTGACGGAATGTTACAGTGTTTAACCTGAAGAGGGCGACATTTTGGTCAGATTGATATAAGTGATTTGATAACGCTGCGAACGGGCAGTCCGTGTTTTGTATTGATGCAGTAAGGAATGCAGTAAAGTAAGCTGAAAGATCAAACATCATTGTAAGTTGTCGTTATTTGTCTCGGGTATTACTTTGATTGAAGTGATTGATGAATGCATGATTGAGATCCTCGTTGAATAGTTGTGAGTTGTGAGAGTCGACTGTCTGGGAGAGTTGACTGATTTATAAGACGAGACCTGGTTTGTGTCGTTCGGAATTGCTACCAAGTTCATGGAACCAGATCTCGTCACACTGGTGGCAGCGGCGGGACAACTAAAACAGCGTGGGTCATGCTTCCAGCGTGAAACTACATACTAAGACACGGACTCAAAACACGCCACCTTTTTAGGTGCTAACGTGAGCTGCGAACTATCGAGAAGTGCAGCCAGGTGAGGTGCCAAGTTGAGGTGCAAGTTGAGGTGCCAAGTTGAGGTGCCAGGTGAGGTGCCAAGTTGAGGTGCCAAGTTGAGGTGCAAGGTGAGGTGCCAAGTTGAGGTGCCAAGTTGAGGTGCCAAGTTGAGGTGCCAAGTTGAGGTGCCAGGTGAGGTGCCAAGTTGAGGTGCCAGGTGAGGTGCCAAGTTGAGGTGCCAAGTTGAGGTGTCAGTTGAGGTGCCAATTGAGGTTCTACTTGAGGTGGAAGTTCTTTGTGCTACAGCTCTTAATAAATTCACCATGGATAAAAAGGAGCATCAAAGGTCCTCAGTTAATGAATGTGACCTAACTCAATTGAACACAGAGCTGGAACGTCTACGAATGGAGAATCAAATTTTACAGTTGGAACGTGACAATGCACGGTCAAAAATTAATCTGATAGAAGCAAGACAACAGGGATTGTCTTCACAAAGTACCGTCAAGCTTGGACAGTTCGAAGAACCATCTGTGAGAAGGAGAGTAGATACGGACATAGTTTTCAATGGACCGTACACTGAGAGAAACAAGGGTAAAAACACGCCCGAATGTGGAGAGAAGAAGGGCTTGTATCCTGAGCTATTGACCCCAGACCGGAAGGTTGGAACCGATTGTTCGACTCCTGTGCCGGATACCATGTTTTCTCAAGAGTTGGCTGGGGACATTGGGTCCCCTTTCCTTGAAGGATTCGATCCCAATTTTCCATGGGAAAAGGCCAGTGGAAGAACGAAATACGAAGAAGACTGACAACAAGCAGGGTGATGTGGAAATAAAAGAAGAAGTTTCTAGAGATTGTTCAATAGGAACAAAACAGAGCCAAAGGCCTTGCATAACACCTGATCGGTTCAATGGACAAACATCGTGGCATCAGTACTTGAAACACTTTGAAGCATGCAAAGATATAAATGGTTGGACAGAGGAGCAGGCAAGTGCTTTTCTGACTGTAAGCCTTCAAGGTGAAGCACTCCGTCTGTTGGACCATCAGCACGATCGCAAACTTACGTATAGGGGACTGACCAAGCTCCTAGAGCAGCGATTTGGCCCAAGTCAACAGGCATAAAATTTTCTGTTTGAATTGCGTCATCGCCGTCAAGGCCAAACAGAAACACTGAAGGAACTTGGCCAAGTCATATGTGAATTGGCAATCAAAGCCTACCCAGACATTCCAGAGGTTGGGAGAAAAAGGCTCGAGAAGAACCATTTTATTGAGGCAATAGAAGACCGGACTATCCGAGAAGGAGTGCACAGAGCTAGGCCAAAGGACATTGACGAAGCTATTCGTGCGGCCATAGAGACAGAGAACTATGAAAGAATCGAAGAAGAACGAAGATCGGAGAGACGTCCGCACAAATTGGTGAGGGGTTCAGAAAAGGAATCTGAGCAACTCATCCAGAAATTGGAGCATTTGTGTGAAAGGCAGGCAACACAATTCGAGACAATGACAAGGCTCATGAATGAAAGATTTCTTTCTTCTGAGAGAGTTCCCAAACCACCAACTCCTGGAAATTCCGGCAAGAAATGGCGGAGAAAAGAAGATTTGATATGCTTCAACTGCAACGAAAATGGACATTTCGCAAGGGAATGTCCTCTTCCTGAAAAGGAGAGGTCGGGAAACGACGAACAGCTGACCGGAAGGTCCACGGGAAGGCTGTAAGAAGTAACGGACCTAGTCGACTTGATGATGGAAGGATTGTAACACTTACACCTAACGAAGAACCCAAGCAAGGCTTATTTGTAGAGGGTACCATCAGGTCTATAAAATGTAGATTCCTCATCGATACAGGTTCAACTGACACAATTGTTAGAACTGACATGTACTACAGTATTGCAAAAGAGCAGAGACCGGTTCTTGAACAAGACAACGTCAGGGTTCAGCAGGTAGATGGAACGCCACTTGATGTGCTAGGAGTTGCCTGGACAGAAGTCAAAGTTGGAAAGACAATCTTTCCATTAAAGGTCATCTTTGCTAATATTAGGAACCAGGTAATACTTGGAAAGGACTTTTTGATTCCAACCGCTGGGGTTCTAGACTTCTTCCGGCTGGAACTCATCTTGAACGGGGAACACATTCGATGCCTTAACCAGATAGGGAGATCATTCCTAAGAAGGATTTTAGTGAAAGAAACTATTGAGGTGCAACCAGGTCAAGAAACGCTCGCGCAAGGTGAGATCGCCAACTGTGTGGACGAGATGACGGGTACTGCCATAATCGAACCAGTTGCAGGCGGAGGCGAATTGGCTCGCCATGGGCTGGTGTTGGCAAGGTCCCTTGTCACTGCAGAGGCAGATGTTTTGCCACTGAGGTTGTTTAACCCGGGGAACAACAAGATAACACTTCGCCGGGGAACAATGGTCGGGATGATCTCACCAGCGGAAGTGCATGAAAGTGGGGAAAGGACAGAGAATAGTGGAAACGATGAAGTTCCTTCATACCTACAAGACTTGTTGCAACGAAGCCTGAGCAACATCGATCCGAAATATCACCAAGCTATCAAACAGTGCCTCGTGGATTTTCAAGATGTATTTTCTTCTGGAAGTCACGATTTGGGCCGGACCAATGCTGTCAGACACCACATCGAAACCTGCAATTCAAGACCTATAAGACAACGCCTTCGACGTCACCCTATCGTCAATCAGCAAGAGATTGATCGCCAAGTCAAATCATTAGTGCAAGAAGGTCTCATCGAACCTTCCGATAGCCCCTGGGCAGCCAATGTAGTGCTTGTGACTAAGAAGGACGGTACAAAACGGTTGTGTGTAGATTACCGCGGCCTGAATGTAGCAACTGTAAAAGACGCCTACCCTGTCCCCCGAATAGATGAGACCTTGGATGCACTAGGCGGGGCCAAGTGGTTTTCAACCTTAGATCTAGCTGCAGGCTATTGGCAAGTTGCCCTTGATAATGAAGCTCAAGACAAATCATCTTTTGTGGTTCGCGGTGGCCTATACAAGTGGAAGGTAATGCCATTTGGGCTGTGTAATGCCCCCGCAACTTTCGAGAGGTTGATGGAGAAAGTGATGGCTGGTCTACAATGGGACATATTGCTCATCTATTTGGATGATGTAATAGTGTTCGGTCGGACAGTTGATGAGCAAATCGTACGACTTCGCACAACATTGGCGCGGCTCCGGGAAGCCAATTTGAAATTGAAACCATCCAAGTGCAATTTGTTTCAACAGACGGTGAAATACCTAGGTCACATCGTGTCTTCAGAAGGAATCACAACCGACCCTGCCAAGGTCGAGACCATTCGGAATTGGCCCAATCCCACATGCAGCAAGGATGTTCGAAGCTTCTTGGGGCTTGCATCCTATTACCGCAAGTTCATTCGCGGGTTCGCATTCATCGCATCACCACTTCATGAACTGACTGAGAAGGCTAGGCGTTTCGAGTGGAATGACGAATGTCAAAGAGCTTTCGAAGAGTTGAAGGAGTGCCTTATCCAGGCTCCGATCCTAGTATGTCCCTTACCAGAGGGGGATTTCCTGCTTGACACTGATGCCAGTCAGAATGGTATAGGGGCTGTGTTGTCCCAAATTCAGGAAGGCGAGGAAAAAGTAGTCGCTTACGCAAGCAAGAAGCTATCGAGGGCTGAGAGGAACTACTGTGTGACCCGTCGCGAGCTGCTAGCAGTTGTGTTCTATTTGAAATACTTCAAGCAGTATCTCTACGGTAGGAAGCTGACCGTTAGAACAGACCACGCTTCTTTGCAGTGGCTCCTCAACTTCAAAAATCCAGAGGGCCAATTGGCACGTTGGATCGAGGTTATCGCAGCATACAAACTGACAATACACCATCGTCCAGGAAAGAAACATGTGAATGCCGACAGTCTGTCCAGAAAACCATGTTCTCAGTGTGGCCTTGTTGATGACACAAGTGACGGCGAAGACACATCTACAGAGACAGATACTCCCTCCGAGCAAGTCCAGTTCCATTGTAGGGCAATTATTGCCTTACCTGGGGTCACTCGAGAGGCCTTAAGAGAAGGCCAGTTGGAAGATGATAGTATGAGCTGGGTATTGAAGGCTAAGGAAGGAAGAAGCTGTAGACCAGATTGGGAAACAATAGCCAACTCGACAGCTGCAAAGAAAACGTACTGGGCTCAGTGGGACCAATTGGATTGCAAGCAAGGAGTACTATGCAGAAAATGGGAGACGTCGGATGGGGCATGCGTGAAATGGAAGGTTATCCTGCCACGGAAGTACCGAAAAGAATACCTAGAAGCAATCCATGGGGGTACAATAGGAGGTCATCTAGGCGTTACCAAGACATTGTCAAACGTAAAACAGAGGGTTCATTGGTCAGGCATGTCAGGAGACGTGAGGTCATTCATCCGGTCGTGTGACCTGTGCGCCAGAAGAAAATCCCCCTCAAAGAGGGCACGTGCTCGACTTCAACAGTACGAGGTGGGAGAGCCAATGGAAAGAGTAGCAATGGACCTTGTCGGGCCTTTACCCAAGACCATCCATGGGAATCAGTGGATCCTTGTAGTAGGGGATTATAAGAGCAAATGGATGGAAGCGTATGCGCTTCCGGATGCTCGAGCTACAACAGTGGCCCAAAAGTTTGTCGAAGAATTTGTGTGCCGTTTTGGTGTCCCTCGTGAACTACATACCGATCAAGGAACTAATTTTGAATCGCAGGTGTTTGCAGAGATGTGTTCCCTGTTGGGCATTCGAAAGACAAGAACAACAGCTTACAACCCGAAATCAGATGGGCTCATTGAGAGGTTCAACAAAACCCTCATCAATATCACCGCCATGCTCATCGAGCAGTCAAAGAAGTCTAGGGAATGGGATGAGTGCTTGCCATATGCAACTAGCGCATATCGCTGTACTGCACAAGAATCCACGGGAGAGTCACCCAACATGCTCATGCTCGGGAGAGAAGTGACGCTTCCAATAGACCTGACTATGGAGAATCCAAAGTATCCTAGCTGTGATGAACCAAAAACAGACTACGCTGAAAAGCTACGCCAGAATCTACAACAAGCTCACGAACGGGCTAGCGAGTGTCTTAGGAAGAGTGCCAGGCGTCAGAAACGCAATTATGACAGGAAAGCTACCACCACTAATCTCAAGGAAGGACAGTTTGTTTGGTTATATGATCACAGCAAGAAGAAGGGGGTTTCCCCGAAATTACAGCTGCGATGGATGGGTCCTTACCTAGTGGTTACGAAGATCTCAGATGTTACGTTTCGGATTCAGCTGAGTCGCCGATCGAAAGCAAAGGTAGTACATGTAGATAGGCTCAAGCTGTACACTGGTGAAGATCTTCTTGCATGGGAGTATCGCCTTAGAGTTCCTGAGGAGGAATTTCCCTTTGCTGATTCTCCTACTCTTTTCCCTGAGGTCATACCAGAAGAGATCAGCCCTGCCAGTGATGAAACTTTGTCAGATGATCATCAACCCCAGCTTGATGAGACCCCTGCTGATGACCAACCCCAGCTTGATGAGAACTTGCCTGATGATCATCAACCCGGGTTCGATCTTCCCACTGATCTACCTCAGACTCCCGTGATTGAGAGTCGCTATCCCAGAAGAAAACGAAAACCACCAGATTTCTTTTATTAAATAAGAATTATCGACATAAATAATTATTTGTGTTTTGTTCTTCACAATTGCAGAATAATGTCTGAGGAGTGGAAGAAACCAGAGGACTTGGATGGGGACCGGCTTTACAAGTGCCGAGAATGTCTTTCCACGTTCTTGTACCACCGCAGCCTGATGCGCCATATCGGGGAGAACCATCGGGATGGATCCCGGAAGTGGAACTGCAAGACCTGCGATTATTCCTCTACCAGGCGGGGGAATTATGAAAGGCACGTGGACGGACACCGAAAGGACGAACAGCGCACGGTTTCCAGAAGAGAGTCGAGCAAAGAAAGAGAACCGGTGGGCCGGGGCGGTGAAAGGGCAAAATCCCCAGATCGACGTTGTCCGGAGACGAAGAGAGACGACAGAGACCAGCCACAGGAAAACAACACAGCCATTATAAGTGTACATCCAACTCCAGTGCCTAGTATTGATTCTTCCAGAGATGCCAGAGGCAAGCCCCTTGCCATGCTTAAGAGAGCCGCATCCCAGGATGAGGTGGTTTCGTCATCGTCATCAGCATCATCTTCGTCGGAAGAAGCTGAGAGTGGAGGAGAGGGTGCCACTGGAAATGCGCGTACAGACAGACCGGTTTTCAAGAAAGCGAGAGTTGAGAAGAGGATTACGACGACCTTTACTATTGAAGGACGCGTAGTTCGTACGAGAAAGACGAAGGAGTTCTTCGACCGCTTCATACTTGTTTAAGTTAACACTAAGTCTTACTGGTTTACTTGATCTGTTTTGATTACAACTATAGGCCTCAGTTTACAATTTGCTTAAATCAGGTAGGCCTACTAGAGGTCAGGTTTTTTGTTGTTGTTGTAACTTAAGTATTACTAGTGATCTTACGAGAAAAGTGTTTTGATATTCTTTACATTTCCAAACGTATTTTGGACATTGTTGATCAATGTCTTTGTATTTGTGATTACTTGTGTTATATAATTATATATCTATAAAAATAACAGGAAGAAGAGAAAAAGGCAAATGTGTAGCTTATTACGTTGATTTGCTTGGACTTTCTTATAGATTGGTTAGGAAAACAAGAATTAATAGTAAAAACCGTTTTACATGTTTTTAATGCCTATATTGTTGAGCTATGTTTAAAATGTCGTTTCGGTAGGTTTAGAACGAGGACGTTCTAGTCTAAGTGGGGGGTTGTGTGACGGAATGTTACAGTGTTTAACCTGAAGAGGGCGACATTTTGGTCAGATTGATATAAGTGATTTGATAACGCTGCGAACGGGCAGTCCGTGTTTTGTATTGATGCAGTAAGGAATGCAGTAAAGTAAGCTGAAAGATCAAACATCATTGTAAGTTGTCGTTATTTGTCTCGGGTATTACTTTGATTGAAGTGATTGATGAATGCATGATTGAGATCCTCGTTGAATAGTTGTGAGTTGTGAGAGTCGACTGTCTGGGAGAGTTGACTGATTTATAAGACGAGACCTGGTTCGTGTCGTTCGGAATTGCTACCAAGTTCATGGAACCAGATCTCGTCACAGTATCAGGTTCAGCAAAAAGCTTTAATATCCACCTTCTCTCTACATGTACTGTAAAAAGTCATCCTCTGGCCTCTACTTACTTTCTCTGCTCTCTTGAGGCTCCAGATGATAACATGCTCTACGGCAGACACTGCAGCAAACTGATGGTCTTTGGTGAACACTACATTCGCTTTGGTTGTCCCTACAACTCCAAACACAGCACTCTGCACAAAGCGTAGGTATTGCTTCGTTAACCCCATCCTGATGAATGATCCTTAGATGTAAGCCTACTAGGCAACCTGCAAAGAGCAACAAATATTTATAGTCACATTAAACTGTTGACTACTGACTCCCATAGGCTTAATACATGAGCCACCTGGTTTGAGAGTAGCAGAGGTCAATGGGTCAACAAGGGGTGCGTTTAAGCTCAATTTTGAAGGCAGAATGAGCGATTTGAAACGCACATCGTACTAAAAAATAAGGATCGTCTGCTTTTTGCAGACGTTTTTTTCCATTGGCGCTCTGTGAGTTTCGGGTTGCCGAACCGCTCACTGGCGATGCGAAAAATGGATTCTGTGTAAGAAAATAACCCTACATGTAGTTCACCGTCTACTTTTATGGGTTGTCCATCTTCCCGAGGATTTATTGCTCATAATGTGAAAGTCTCTGTAGACGTCAATGTGCAGAAGTGGGCTAAAATAAAATCCATCAAGAAAATCATCACGGAATCTGTTTTTTCACATCGCCAACGCGCCGATCAAAAAATATGAAACATCTGTGAAAATATAGACGATCATTATTTTTGAGGATGCATCGGTCAGCATTTATGAAGACAATCCTCGTTTAGATCTAGATCTAGAAGTCTATGGCTATGCCTATGGTAGACCGAAAACTTCAGTCTCTCTAATCGTCGGTTGATCCACTGAGACTACGTCTGGCTCCACTAGACCTCCGATTATAGAAACTGAAGTATGGCCTATCAGGACTGTACGCGTACGGAACCAATGGTTCGGTTTGGCAGGACCGCGATGAATAAGATATGCAATGAGCTTTTTACTCTTTACATCCTCATACATGCTGCAATATTACAATAATTAGAGTCTAATTAAAAATAACATATACATGTAATATATAGCTTATTTGACTTACGATAGCTTGCTCATTTAGATCCTAAATTAATGATTAATCTGAGAAAGTCTCGTAGTCAACTAACTCCGTTGTCAGCCATCTTGGTTCTAGTTGATGAATATTCATTTTTTCTTTTCGAACGTCCAATAGCTACCGTAGCTACGTACGAGTCAGCCCGGCTTGACCATCGAATACCCACAAAACGAGTGCTCTGATTGGCCATTGGCTATCTCGGAAATATATCGGCCGCCGGGTCATATAGCTCTAGATCTATGTTCGAATGCATGAACGTACTGTTTCACAGTTCTGAGATACAAGTTGGATAATTCATATAAGTAAGTCTGTAAATTATGCATTTAATATTAAGTTATCAAATTTTGATAACTGTAATTAGGACAAATGACATACCAACCTAATTTACATCTGATTTAGAAATCAGAAAATTAGATCTAAATAAAGAAAATCGGGGAGAAAATGTCGTGAACGAAACGATGTTCATCGCTGGCTCTAGCTACCCCAAGGTACGAGATCTCTGATCTGGTGTACCATACTACCATCTGTAATGGGGAATGTCAACAAACGTTAGTTTTATTAAAGAAATGACCCAAATCAGACGGTTATTTCTGTCTAGAGATCTATCATCTAGATCTATGCCTATGGCTGCAGATGCAGAGGATTTCCTTTTTCTAATTCTACTAGTAGGCAGTTCAGGTGATTTTTTTTTGTAGGAGATAGGGGGTGATTTCAATATCATTTTAAAGATCACATTTTTATTTACACAATGCACTTTGAGTTGTTCAATTTGGACCAACGGTTCCAGAGATACGGATGTTTAAAATAATTTTCAGAACCATATTGATGAGGACAAAAGATCAAAAGGTCTAACCTATTATAATTGTATTGAAGTCAATTAAACCTGTGTTTAAGCAGTGGCACCATTGTTTTCAGAAGTTTGTGATCTGTTAAGCCTCATAATAGTCATATCTCTCCAATACGATGACCAAACTCGCTGAAATTTGGCAAATATATTCAGTGATGTTTGGCAAATATGAAATTTAATATCTTTAAACAGCACCGTAATAAAATATGCAAATTTATGCAAATTTATGCAAATTTCCATGTTTTTGTCATCATATTGTTATAAAAGGTAAATAAAAACCCTTTGAATCTAAACTTTTACCAAATGATCTTGTCTATTTATTTATTTCTTTCTCTCTCTCTCTCTCTCTCTCTCTCACACACACACACACACGCACGCTTTCTCCTAGCTCTCTCTCTCTCTCTCTCTCTGTTTCTTTTTTTCTCTGTTTCTTTTTTTCTCTCTTTCTCTATTTCTTTCTTTCTTTCTCGGTCTTTCTCTCTCGGTCTTTCTCTCCTAGTCTCTCTCTCTCTCTCTCTCTCACACGCACGCACCCACACACACAAAAGGATGAGGTGACAAATCGTCTATGTAGTCTATACTTGCAGCAATCTTGCAGTAAATGAACAGTTTTTTCGAAAAAATATTGTTACTTTACCTCAAAATATAACCAATTCATGTTAGATTATTACAATATTTATTCCAAATATTAAAATAAATATCACAATTATCAATAAAATACGACATACAATAAACAAAAATTGAAAAAACAAGTCAATCAAGTCACAAACGGGTCTGAATTCTAAGACTACGAAATGGTCTCGACGTCACTCACACAGCTGTTTCATTCACGTACACACTATGTACACGCATCACGCGTCGCATTGTCAAAATCAGTTCGTGCAATTTTCAAAAACTGCAATCATATTATCATATCTACCATAAGATCTACTCATCATCATTATATGAAACTTTCAGGAAAGAAGGTAAGATGTTTAATTTTGTTAATTACGGAGTTGTAAGTTAGTTGAAAAACTCCTTCCATCTGAATTTCATCACATTGCCGGCAGATTTGAGCAAAACCATCTACTACGATGGTTATTCAACGTACAACTCACTTCCGATGTGCATCGATAATTGTCGAAGAGAAATGACGTCATATTTTATTGTTTTAACCAATCAGAAGGCGGGGAAATCCGAAATAAACCGAGTGTTTTTTTTCGGCAAAACCACGAAAGCTCACGAAAGTGTGGCCGAAAGCGCGCTCACCCTGATGTATGTGGATTCGTATAGGGAGCTGAAATGCGCACTTGCGTACGTGAATAAGAAGTTGTCCCCATCGCGAAGGTCTAAACTGAACTGCCTACTACTAGACTAGTAGGGGTCTAGATCTATTTCTAATTCTCGGACCAGCGCCCTACTGCACACACTGGCTAATTTTGCACGAAAATGGCACTACTGGCCGATTATAACATAGTCCATGTTTAAATGTCATATGTACCTACATATTTTCTGTCATACTTCATATCCTCTTCTAATTATTATTTTTTTGTGTGAGAGGACAATTGCTAAGGATCAAGCCAGGCACACAAAACACAAACACCATTTTTAACACATGGGACACGGTTGGAAAAATATGACTTATACTGAGAGACCATTCTTTGATCTCATGTTGAACGAGAGGTCATGTTTACAATATATTTCATTAATAACATTGATATTACACGGTAATATTTACTTACAGAAATATGGGGAATGTAACTTCCCTATTTAATCTCACGGAAGCCAGAAGAGGTGACAATGCATGCTTAACAGTACATAAGCACACGTGCACGTGTATTATCGCTTCATAAAATAGCGACGAATAAGCCAGCGACCAATAAGGAGGAAGATTCGACCAATAATAGCCACTGGTAAAGGTCAGTGGTCTTCGACCGGTTCTCTTATTGGTCGCTAGAAATAGCCTGTGAACTGTGTGTGTTGGCTAAAGCTAGATCACTGCATGCATGCACTGCATGTACACAAAACTGGCTTAATTTCTGCGCATGCGTAACGTTGTATTTAAGCTTCCGTGGTTACGCTCTATTTTTCACATACCGAGAGTCGATTTGGGCCGGATAATATCACGTTTTCATACCTGTTATCAGTGGTAAGACGAGAAACAAACTATTTTTTTGAATTCATTAAATTAGTAAAAGAATCATACATATGTTGTAATGAATTTACCCCTTTATTTATCTTTACATTTCGCAATTGAAATATTAATTGTGTCATTGATAATTTTTTATTTTATTTGATCGGTCCCATGCACTGAAGAAATCGTCATGTTTGTCTTCTTTAATTGGGTTTGGAGTTTTGCCTGAATTTTTGAACGTTTTTGTTGTTAATTGTCTGTCTTATTGGGATGATTTGATCATTGCATGATTAAAAACATGTAAAGAAAATGAAAGAAAGTGAAAAAGATGCATGGCAAGAAAAAGAAAGAAAGAAGAAGAAGAAGATGAAGAAGAAGGAGAAGAAAAAGAAGAAGAAGGAGGAGGAGGGGGGAGGAGAAGAAAAAGAAGAAGAAGAAGAAGAAGAAGAAGAAGAAGAAGAAGAAGAAGAAGAAGAAGAAGAAGAAGAAGAAGAAGAAGAAGAAGAAGAAGAAGAAGAAGAAGAAGAAGAAGAAGAAGAAGAAGGAGAAGAAGAAGAAGAAGAAGAAGAAGAAGAAGAAGAAGAAGAAGAAGAGGAAGAAGAAGAAGAAGAAGAGGGAGAGGAAGAAGAAGAAGAAGAGGGGAGGAGGGGGAGGAGGAGGAGGAGGAGAAGGAGAAGGAGAAGAAGAAGAAGGAGAAAAAGAAGAAGAAGATTTTTGTTGTACATAGATTATTTTTAAAATTATGTTACTAGTTCATCATTCAGTTTACTCTCTTTCTTCCCCTACATACCTGAGCAACTCTGTTTCAAAGTACAACCCCACACAAAGTCTTCGCTCCTCATCAGACACGCTATTACTTAATACACCCAGAATAAAACTTGCTTGGGGCGATCGGGCTTTCTCTGCAATGGGTCCAAAACTCTGGAATAAGCTCCCTCTACAAATGGCCAACTGTCGTCAACAGAAACATTCAAATTACAACTGAAAACTTATTTGTTTCTTTCGTTGTAAAGATTGCAATAGTGTAATTTACCATGTCTAGGAGAATTTCGAATTTTGTTTTTCGGTTTATTGTTTTTTCTTTCTTATGTCTGTTACATGTCCTTTTCTCTAAGCGCCATGAGCACCGAAAGGTGGACCTGTGCGCTATACAAGTAGCCACTATTATTATTATTATTATTATAGGAATATGAGTGACCTCTGTGGATGGAGAGGTCATTTATGTCATGGTGAATTTTATGGTAGCATTTTCCCATTTAATTTTCTCAATTTTTTTGTTGGTGTATTTTTAATTGTATCATGATTAGATCCAAGATTACCAGGATGGTTAAACTACACATCAAGAGGGGTGACGAGAGTCAGTTCTTGTTTGAGACGACAGTACAGCAGCCAGTAGAAGACCTAGTCAAAGAGCTTATCCTGATTCACAATGGTAGACTCAAAGTGGAAAGAATGTGTTCAGGTGAGAGGGGATGTTCATGTATTGAGTTAAAACATGTCAAGTAATGACCCCTAGAGGCTGTTTCAGATATGTCACTGTAAACTGCCGCAAAAAAGTTGCCATGTCTTCTTTTATATATGTAAATGAATGGCACCTGTGTATGCAACTTAAGTCCTGCGTATTCACTTGTCTCTGTATTATTAGATACAGAAATGTGAATGGTATTACACATACCTTCATCATAAAAACTTAAAAAACGCCACTGTTTACCATCTCATATCTGAAAAAGGCTTTAGGATGGAGTCTATGGAAAATGTGCCTTAGGGAAAAAAAATCAAATTGTATCTCATGTGTTGACCTCATGCAAAATTTCTTGTTCGGGAATTCATCTAAAAAATAAAACTTTTTTTTTAAAGGTGTACATTTAGTGTATTAAAACACTTTTATAATAAACATTTTTATTGTTTTTTGCCTTTTCTCTCATCTTTATTAGATGACATAGAAATTCTTTAAAGTGGATATTTCATACACTTTGATTGGTAATGGATATTTGGACTTACATTTTGATCTTGTTTCTTTTCATATTTCCAGAAATCAACGAGCTTGCTGAACATGGAACCACTCTTCCTCCAAACATGCAAGGATTAGCCGATGATCAGATTGAAGATCTGAAGCTGGTCGATGAATGGGGGCAGAAGTGTGAACCAAGCGGGGGTTCAATTGAATGCAAAGATCCTATCAGCAGGAGAAATGGCAAAGGTACACCATCATTTCACACCTCCACCTCCTCCTCCTTTCTCTCTCTCTCCCTCTCTCTCCATCTCTCTCTCTCTCCCTCTCTCCACCTCCCCCTCCCCCCTCTCTCCCTCTCTCTCATTCTGTAACTGTTTATGTTTAGGTTTCTGCATGTATCTGTCACTCATTTTGTCTCTCTGTTAATTGTCTCTCCCTCTCTATTTGTCTTACTGTTAGTTATGAAAGAAAACAATCAAATTTACAAATGAGTACAATCTGTTGGCTTCATCTTTCTATATAACTCTGTTGTTTCCTTACAGAGGGAGCAATCATGTAACTCACAAATCAAGCTTAGTCAAAAGATTTTAACTTCATAATATCCATCTGCAACAACTGAAAGGGGTTATTTGTACCTACAAATATTTCTTGTCTTCATTATAAATGTTCCATAGAACAAGTTTGAATGAAATTACTGTTTCATTCATCAACACATACACCTGATAAGTCTAGAATATATATTTTTGTTTTACTCATGATGATGTAAGAATTTGAATTTTGATAAACATATTTTTGGAATCTTCATCCTCTTTTTCAGCTCCAAATGAGAAAATGAAGGAAGTTTTAACAAAGACAGCCAGTGAAGCCAAGAAGATCATTTCCAAAGTAAGTAGTTTTTATTCTCTTTTATCCTACTGAAAAAAGAGTAAGGATGAGAAATTCAATGCAGGTACCAAATGTAACTAAATACTGAAGGTTTATTAAAGATTGATGCTTAGTTCATACATGCATGACTGGAAATGATAAATTTTGAATGTTATGCTTGTTTGATGTAAAGATTTGAGATATACATGTACATGTAAGCTCCCAATATCCCTACATGGTACTGTTCCCCATGTCCATTTCAAAGCTTTGCATTGCTATTTCATTTTCTTATTTATAATACACACTCAATTGGACCTTTTTCTTCATGTCTGCTCATCACATACAGTTGGTTGTACATTTCAGCAGTGAACTGAATGTGAACTAACATGATAACTTAATTTTTGAGAGAAGTGACAACATCACTTGTTATTCAAACCAGAATGGGTAATTATTACATCATAGTTTAGTTTAGTTCACTGAAAATTCTCCAATCCTTCGCCTCACATATAGAGCCAAGCGTCTGCAAACGTGTGTGTTACGCAACCTATGGTGAAGGATGCCCTGGACCAGCTGAGGGGTGCGGTTACCATTGTTTACCCCATGGGTTTACCCCCTCACGATCCTATCAGGATGGAGATTGAAGGCAATGAAGAGCTGGATGGCACTCAGGTATGTATCATGATATAATTATTATTTGTCGTATTGAGTTAATACCTATCCTGTGTTTAAAACTTGAGGTATTCTTGGGAAGTTCCAATTAAGGCACTTTCTGTCAAGGTTTATTTGACTTTAAATGGATAGCAAGATACTAACATTTCCAAGTAAACATGTAGTTCTAATAAGCCCCCAAACACCCTTGGTCAGTTTTGTTTGAGTTCAGTTGATGATAACCAAATATACTAATAGTTCTCAGGTGTTGTATTAAAGGTTTGCAACTTTTTTAAGGGGAATATTTAACAAATGGAAGGTGAAAAAGAATTTACATCTCAAGCCTGGCTGTAAAACGTAGAATATTACTTGTAAAGGATGTTCATTGTCCTAATAGATGTCCCACAATGCAATTTTTCACTTTTAATCTTGACATTCAACATACACGTGCATAATTAGCTCAGAATTACTAGGATACTTGTTCATGAGTCACATGTTGAGTGTAGAATGGGTGATATATGGCAGGACCATCCGTAGAGTTGGTAAAGATCATTGTTATTTTTTGGAAGTTGGAATGAAACTTGTTGCATATATGTTGTTGCACATGTATGTCCTCATATTGTCCAAGTTGTACCAAACGATGTAAGTATTTTCATTTTGTTCAGTACAAAATTTGTTTTATCTTAATTGCGTTTGTTCTTTTGTTTACAGGCATCTTTGACAGTACTGGAGGAAGATAATACTTCATTGTGGTTCTCTGGTAAAGAGATGCATAGAGGAAAGAAGCTTTGTGATTACGTTGGAAAGAATGAAAAGACAAAAATCATTGCTAAATTACAAAAGGTGGGTGCCATAATCAGAATAATTGGTTTATATCACTAATTTTAATATTTAAAAAAAAAGTACCAACAGTTTATTCAGTACACTTTTCATTATAACTATGTGCTTAAAAATGTAAGTGGGGAATCATGATAGCCAAATGGATTTTTTAAGTACGATCACCCGCGCAAATACTGCTTTTATGTTTCAATTTTGTTTTCAAATAGAAGGTTATGTAGTTTATTTCATTACTTTCCATACATTTGTATGCATTTTCTGAGCACTACCATAACACAGGTAATAAAACAGATGAGATATGGAGTAATACATACATCTCACACAATTCTTAATTCGAAATAAAAAAAAACAAAATACTATTTGAAAAACCCAAATAAGATTTTTGATTGATCCAAATTCAGACTAAACCTGTTACATTTGACTTGCTCCGAAGGTTTTGTGCTCTTTCATGCATTATAGCAGCAAGTGCATTGAGTTCTGAATGAACCCATTTCATGTGTGTTACCTTTGGGGATTCCCCAGTGTTGGAAAATGTTGTACATTCATTGAATATCATAATTGTATTCAATAATCTTGATTTTTAGGAAAGGTCCAGCGTATCTCTGAGTAAATTACAAGTATTATACTGACACTGCCATCAGATGCATTCATGCACACCTCCTTTTCAAGGGGGAGGGGTATTATTCATACAGTCATATAAGATATTGTATGCAATTTAATGTTATATAGTCTAATAGGTTTAATGATTATAGTGTGCATGATTTATAATTCTGTAAATACAGTTAACTCTGCGTAACTTGAAGTCACACAAGTCAAATTTTCTTTGAGTTGAATCGTAAAAAAACCCCACCAAACTATGCAAAATGTATTATGTACACTTCCTATTTCAAATTTTGCATACAGGTATGTCGAACTGTTTTTTGTGGTCTAAAGTCTAAACACATTCAATTATTGCAGAGTTAACTGTTGGTTAATATGAGAATCACGTCACATTACATATCAGCATTATATTTTCATTTCACTCATGACATCACTTAATGTTTATCTCCACAGAAAGGAGGAGGTGCGCCAGCCAGAGAAGCTGTATTCAGCGAGGACGAGAGGAAACAGATGATGCTACATGCATACCGCAAACAAGAAGAATGGAAGGTAAATTGAATTAATGCTCATCATCATTTGAAAGCAAAGGACTCTAAAAAAATAAAATGTAAAGCCTTTTATGGTAGTAAAGATCAAATAGGTATAGTACGTAGCATAACAAAAAGAGCTTAAAATTAGCCCTGCTAGATGGGGGGGGGGGGGGGGGGGGGGGGGAGGAGGGGGCAGTTGAATGAGTAATTGGCCCTATACCAAACAAATTGGATGGAAAGTATTTACCAGTGATAGCTGATGGAAATATGATGGATAGTGTTAAATAGTCTATAGCAAGGAAATTTACCATGTTTAATTAGGAAATGAGATTTTACAGATTCAGTAGAAGAATTGTTGATATAATTGTTGGGGTGTTATTTTTTTTCTTCTTCATAATTAACCTATCCCCATTCTTATGGTCAATATATACCACCTGGCACCTGGTGCAGAATAAGCGATCAAGAATGACTTTTTTTTAGGTGAATGTATCTTGAAATTGAGTTTCAATACCATAATTCAAGATTACTTTTAATGAATTCTTCAAAACTAATATTTTTTTCCTTAACCCTCTTATGTACTCAATCAAATCTATTGTAAATGTTATCTGATAACAAGTTTCTGAGATTTTTGCATATGTGGTTGTTTGTCTTCCTTCAGTTCCCTGTTCATTTAAGAGATATCATTATTGGAGAAACTCCTTGCACCCACAGAAAAAGACTGTGTCAAATTGCTTTTCATTTGGTACTGAAGTCACATAATTGTCCTTTGTTGTTCATTCATCTTGGGCTTTTGTTTGAAGATGTTGTGTGGGACACAGGCCATACAAATTATAACTTTGTATGCACTGGTGACCAAACGAACCTCAGAGATTGCCAATGGTGGTACAGCAGGCTTGATGTGGCTTTGGTTGTGATTACATTCTTCTTCAAATTTTGTATTGATCTTTTAATACAGAAAATGCAAGAAGGGAATGAGGATGCGTATCTGGACTCTCCTTGGGCAGATTCCAGTCAGCTCAAGAGCCAGCTACAAGGGATCAACAATGTCAAGTGGGGACCTCGATGAGCTTGACCTGACCCGACATGACCTGACCTGACCTGCATGATCTGAAGCAACATACACCAATCACAATCTGACTTTTACCATGTTATACTGGAGCAGACCACTGTGATTCTGTTTCAGTTTAGGAAGTGCGATGCAGGGAGGTATAGTGGATTCCAGTTTTATGCAACAGGACATTTATGGAACAAACAATTAGGACCTTTTAGCTACACGATGACGGAGGCCACAGATTCTTGATTTGGAAAACTGGAAAGATATTTGACAGGCCAGTCTTGGGCACTATCTTTGTTATAAAGCCGAGGTAATAATATCCAAAGTCCTTTGCAAGCGCATGCCATAGAGACGTTACATCATAATGTGGTATATGCGCTATACAGAAAGGGGATATTATTATTATTATTATTATTATAAAATACTATGGAGTGAAAAGATGAATACAAGACAAATGATGTCGGCTTATCTGATGCTCTCTGAAGCGTTTAGATATTATACGCAACATTTGAAAAGTTGAGAATCTGTCATGTTGTGCTCATTTTGACTGATTCCAATCAATTATGTGTCTTTCCTTTTTATCTTTTTTATTTAATTTTTAATTGAATGAATGTTTAATGTTTTGTTGTTGTTGTTGTATATTCTAGTATCCTTCCAGAGTTTGTGTAATTTATACATGAACTGTCACTCTTCATTGTACATATTTCAGCCATATGTTCAATGCATACAAATTTACATTGCCTACTTTATTCACTGAGCGTCACTACACCGCATTCGATATTTGTTGTATATTTTTTTAATTTTGCAAACAAGTATGGGATAAGATACACATTAACTGGGGGGATTAAGCAGAGTGAGGTCAAAAGTAAGAAGTTACCCGTAATAAAAAGGAAGGCGAATATTCAACAACAAAAAAGTATAGCATTTTGTCTTTTCAGTAAATTATTTTTGTTTTTAAATTTTAATTTCATCATGAATACCAAAGCAAGTAGGGTCTGGGTCATGTGACAAATATGTTGTTGAAACCATTTTCAATTTTTGTTTTCTTCCCCCGTAGATCTCATTTACATGCATTACCGGTAAAAACATGTGACCTCCAAACAGATTTTAAGTTAAGTATTCTGATTTGATTGATGGAATAATCAGGGTTGCTGTATGCTTCCAAATGAACTACCCTGACAATGGTTTGCCAGCTATTTGATGCAATGTAATTTGCCCTCTTATAAAGAGCAATGTACATTATGTTGACAATTGTATACGCACACGTATGCAGTTCATGAAATTCTGTACTGATCAAGGCATCGATAGAGGAGTAGATGAAATTACTTTTGTACATGAAAGCATTGTTCAAGTGTCAACAAGGTCATTATATCAATTCTTTGCATTACATTACAAATTAAAGTAATGATTTATTAAATTCAATTCAATTTCGTTTTTTATTGTAAAAAAAAGAATGTGCAAAAGTCTGGAGACTAATATTTTTGTAATTTACAGTAAAGTACAAGTAAAAATGAATTGAGGTAATAAAAATTTACATTGACAATTAGTAGTTCATTAATAATGTGAACCCCTTTTCTTTGCCCTATGTTATGGCTATGCTATTATGTAGAAACATTTTTTAAATTTTTTGTTGTTGAAATATTGTCACTTTAATTGTTTGACATACCGACTGAAATGGGTTGTGATGGAAAAATATAAAAACTTTGGAACATGTCTTTCTCTGAAAATAGCTGTTTTTTCTGCAAATCCATTAGCCCCTTCTATGGAGTACAACAATTGTTAGGACTTGCAATAAATAGATATGCCATGCAGAGCTTGACCTCCATTATCATCTGATGCTAAATGTGTTTTAGGTGTGAAAACAAACAAAAAAGCCATTTTTTCTATATACATTTCCTATATTTTGAAAGTGGCCAACTCGGGAGAACAGAATGACAAGGAAGAGTGGAAGTTACGAGTACAAAGAAGAGAGTGCAAGAGAGAAAGAGAAGGGGGGGGGTGGTGGAGAGATAACAAGAGAAACAGCTAGGAAGAGAGGATAGTCATCATCATCATCATCATGACCACGACCACCATCATCATAAAATTTCATTTTCTATTGGGATACACATGTATATTGTTCAATTACAAACACCAGCAGTCCCTGAAAGCGAGTCCCAAATATTCTCAAATTACTTTGCTGATGCTTAGTAGCCTCATCAGTATTAATACTGTTCTAGTAAGTATGACAAGTTCACCTGTATATAAAACAAGTTCAATGACCATCATGGTCAGTTGACTCTGCAGTTGACTCTGCATAACTTTTGACTCAGCTTTTGACAGTTGACTCTGCATAACTTGAAGTCGCACAAATTGAATATTCCTATAAAGTGTCAATTTTGGATCAAACTATGCGAAACGTGATATCTATACTTCTTACGTCAAATTTTGAACAAGTTGAATTTGAACCGTTTTTTGTTTGAAGTCCCAACAGATTCAACTTATGCAGAGTTAACTGTCCAAGAATTATTTTATGACGATTTTTAAAACGAGATAATCCAAAAATGTTCATTAAAATCAATACGCCCTGTACAATATCAATTGGTTTTAGATGAACAACACATATTTGAACATTAGTTTATTTCTGATGGATAAACATGATCAAAGTTGAAATGCATTCTGCAATTGATACATGAATGATAGATGTGGAGTTTTGGTCCACACAATATTGTACATGTACCTCCAAACAAACAAAAAGTAAAAATTAAAAAGTAAAAAATTGCAAATTAAAACTTGCATATTTATCATTATATAAAAGAAATTGCATTTCTTCTTCTTCTTACTTACCTATACATCAATTAAAATGTAAAATACAATGATACAATCTTATTTCATTTACCATAAAAACATTAAGCCCTATGTAATACTATCATCATTAAACAACGGTGGGCAGTGGGGAATAATACGAGTCATGAAATCGAAATAATGCCTCTTTTGAGTTGATTGAATACTTTCTTGGTATGCTTACTGAATGAGTATAAGTAAATTCCCCTGGCATGTAATATTGAATGTTGCAAAGGTCAAGGTACAAAAACGATGTAGCACACCATATATGGGTAACCCTGTATCCCCAGTATAGGCACTTTTTTGTTCCAAGTTATATGAGATATAGGATACTAAGCAAGTCATTATTAGTGAAAAAGTTGAGGTCACAGTCAACTGGAATATGAATAATTCAACAATATTAATGTAATGTTGATCAAGGTAATTGTCCATTTGAAAACTGACCATTCACACAAAAACTACTACCCTATAAATCAATCAATGTGATAGAAATTTAACTACACTAATATCTAAACAAGGTCTAATTTTTCTAATTTGGATTAAAAACAACACAAATACAAGGTATAAAACCTAAACGGTTTTCAGTTCTGTCTGAATACCTCTTAATATATCCATTGTTCAATGATTTCAACTGCGGAAATATATTAAATCATTGCAACAATTGGGTGCTAAAAACATATAGAACAAATCAAAATCGAAACAAAATTGAACAACAAATTAAAACAAATATCTTTTATAAAAATATAAATATTGCAAATGATAAAAAAATATATACATATAATTGCAATTGCAAATCAATCCCTCCCTGCATTGTAGCAATGCATGGCACATTATTCATTAATAATCTAAAAAAATACCATATGCTTCCTCAATATCATATACTCTTAAATATAGTATCTTTCCATAATACTTTCACAATCGAATACTTTTCATAATACAAATACCCCAAACACTTTCTATACATTACATGCCAACTTCTAGTGTATCGCAGTGCTTCCAATCTCTCAGGAGTAAAAAATACATGCTATTCTAAACTACATAAAAAATAAAAGTACCGGTACTATCTATTGCATGTCTTGATGATTACATGACTTAGTTTTAGAAAGGAGCAAAAAGGATGCATCTATATGCAATATGAAGGAATCAAAACACACACATAGACAGAGTTTGGATATACTATTGAATATACTATGGAAAAGCTATAATTTACATTTGGCATGATGGAGATAAGAAATTGTTAAATTCAGCGATTCGTATTTCTAAAATAATTCATTGTTTACTTGAAAGAGACACATCATTCATTAGGTTCACAAACCTGACTACACATTTCCTACACCAAGATGTTGAATACTCTGATTATTAAATTAATGTTGTAAAATTTTGTTAAAAAGAAAAGAAAAGAAAATTGGTGGATGATTCTGCATTTTACAGGTCCATGATTCCTAATCCTGACAATGGCAAAAAATAAATTTGATCTTTCTATTTGATTGAAAGTTCATTTTATTTTATGCCCAAAATAATTAATCATTTCAAAATTAAGTACAGGCCTGTGAGACAAGATTTTAAGGCATAACTAATATCAATAGCAGCAATAAATATAAATATGTATACATGCTTCTCACTTTTTTTCCCTACAATCTAATCTAGAAAACTGGCCACACATTTTTGTTACATTTCATGAAGCTCAGAAATCCATATATTTTGCTGAGCATGTTGGTGAGTTAAAAAACACATGTGGCTAAAACTTATCATGAAGCAAATATGAACATATATGATGTATTATTGTAAGTGCTACAAATATCTTCAGCTTCCAAAATGGGCAAGTACATTACATATTTCAGCACAGTATTGCTTATGTAAATGAAGACAAAGTTCCACAGTAGGCAGGTTTCAGGTGGGGAGGGGGAGCGTGGAGGATCCAGTTGTAATGCACAAGGACGGCTATAGTACTGTATACAAATGTACATGCACCTGATCTGGACTGGAATGAACCGGAAGAGCCTCTTTTTATTTGTTGAATGCATGCACACCCTAGGAAAAAGTAAGAAATATGGATCAATCTGAGAACAAAATAAAACAAGTGAGACACAGTACAGGAAATTATGTTTGCTCTCAAAAAATATCTATAAAACAAATCTATTCTAATTTGCTGGCAATCGAAAGCCATGGAGGAAACAATTATTTACAGTACACTTTGGCTTAACGTCAAATAACTTTGTGAATAGATAATTACTTTTAAAGCTTATCTGTACCTGTTTATAGGAGGGATTAGACCACCCTGCAAGGTCACTGGACAGGTGGTTATCTCATCAACTCAGCTCTCAATTAACATAAGAAAAAGAGGATCATAGGGGACCAATGGTCACCGATTAGGCATTGTTTTCTATATAGAGGGAGCAAGTAGCTACAAGTAGTACAGTGTGGCTTTAAGCCAAGAAAATTTAAATTATAATTTTTCTTTTATGATTGTTGTGAATGTTGGCCACTCACAAATTGGGTGAAGAAAGTAAAGTGTCTGACTATCATTCTCTAATCCACAGCTAGTCTTTACCATTAGACTTCTGATGAAGCCCAGCATTGTTTGTACGCCATGAGCGAAATAACTTTGTTTGATCAGAAAATTTGTGCTGCCAGTAACTACATGTAGACCAAGCAAATGAACCTCCTCAAGAATCTGAATCATTCATATTTTTTGAACAATTATATATTACTTTGGAATATACAAGTAATACTTTTAACTAAAAATAAGAATAAAAAATTACCGTTGGTATTTCCTGAAAGCCCTGTACATGTAGTTAGAAAGCACTGTAAGTAGTTAATCTATCGCCTGTACAGAGGTGAGAGAAGGGAACAAATATTTGCAGATTACATACACCTGTACATGAAACTGTCATTTTTTAAGTACTTATAAGACTAAAATAGACAAAATTACCAGAAAATTATATTTATAATTATAATACCGGTAGAGTGAAAAGTACTAGTCATAGGGCTTAGAATTGGGGGTCGCGACTCGCGAGTGAAAAATGAATCTATATGGCAGCAGGTAACCCCTTTCGGTACCTAATTCTTATATGCTCCACAGGTTTAATAGTTAATACAGAGAGCACCCGCAACCAGTAGGTAAAGGGTTAATTGTACATGGAGCATACATGAGATTTGTTAAATGCGTGAATATTTTTAAGTATCCCCATCCTCCCTTACTTGTGCAAGTCATCCACAGTAGCAGATGGGTGAGGAGGCATATTTTCAGATATATGAACAGGAGTGCTGTTAACAAGAAGACGTGTCTGCCCTTTTCTATACTTTGAATATATTTAACAATTAGAAGAAAAACAGATTTTCACACCCCTTACCATCCTCCCCTTCTGTAAAGCATAGAACTAAAATGTAAGATTTAAAGTTGTTGTTTTGGAAAGGAAAACCACACTTTTGTACATATGTAAAAATAAATATTGAAGTATCACATTCCAATATATTACCGTTTCCAATATACATGTGAATGCCTCTGTCAAGATTCCATGAAAGAGATCTACCCTCAGTCTGTCTAGAAGAGGTTCTACTGCCTGAAAAAGCCGCCCAGTTTCTTCAAAGTACTGTTTAATGAAGAACTCTATCTTTTCGATTGGAAAGCCGATTCTTCTGGCTGCTAATATGATGGGATCTTCATCACTTGGTGGAGCAACTGTGTGAGAGAGACAAATAGAGACCACGAGAGGGATTTTGTTAGTCTGATTCCTACATGTGCTGTATAACGTTGTGCAGCTGTCATAATATTTTCCTGGATACCTGCAGTTTAAAATGGAAGAACGCATTCAAAGGATTGTAATTCAGGTTTGTACTAGCCAGTAAAAAGCTCATAAAAGCTAGTACCTTCATGTCAATGTTAAATAAAGAAGACCTTCTCCTTTCAGCCGGGCTTCTTTTCATTATGAGTGATTTGTTGCACTACAACCAAGAGGCAGAATATTTGTGAGGAATAGATATATATATGTATATTTACAGCCTAGACACTTTGGAGCAGGGGCGGGGCGAACGGGGCGGGGCGAGGCGGGCCAAGAAAATGTGAAAGAGTGCAAAAAAAAGTGTATAGCAACTACTGACTAAAGACTGCAACAAACTTGGCTCTGGAGGGCGCAAGAGTGCAGCATTTAGACAAATAAAATGCAAAAAAATTTTTGCTCTGGAGTTATGCTCCCTCGCATAATATCCTTCAAAGTGTACAAGTAAATATATTGTAGGAAAGTGAAGTGTGAACAAAGTATATTGCTTGTTTTTATGCTATAGTTTTGATATTAAGTAATGTAATTTTTAAATACAACAAAACTTCAAAACCTGTGAGGGAGTAGTCAGGTCACGTCCGTCACCTTCACCCCTCTCGTTCACTATGCTCCCTCGCTCTAGCGTAATAATGGAGGAGGGGGGGGGGGGGCTTGGGGGCAGTTGCCACCAAATAGAACACAATTTATTTCTGATTCGATATCAGTGATTTACAAATGTTGCTGAAATGGCATGGTTTTTTCCCTTAGCTTCCGGGGGTTCTGCTCACTAGACCCCACCAAGGGCCCTAAGGCAGCCCCTGGCTGCTCATCTGATTGTAATTTAATGCCTAAAACCCCTTAGATTCTGGGGGCTACGCCCCATTTACCCCACTCCAATTAGTGACTTGAATGCCAGTGTCACAATTAAGGTATAAAAATATGCTCATCTGACCATTATTAAACTTCTGAGCTTCATGTGGCTACGCCCCTTGACCCTTCGCCAATTTACACTCCACTTGCTTCGCTCGCTTTGCTCTACCTGATCGTAAATACTTTAGACCCCCCCCCCCCACTTTGAAAAACATTCCGTGGGGCCTACATGTAACATGTAAGAGCGGAATTGATGCAGATTTTTTCTGCACCTCCCCAACGTTCCCCAACACCTCCCCAACTCGTACCTTGCATTTTGTCCTCCCCGGTCATGAAAAGAAATCATGGCCCCTGCTTTGGAGTGTGTATGTATGTGTAGGTAGGGAGGGGGGGGGGGGGGGGGGCAGGGCGCGACAAACCCGCTTGCTTGACGTCCCGGGGCAACCAAATTGAGCCGTCGGGCAAGTAAATCAAATTATCACTTGCCCGATTCGGGCAAGTGATACTTTTACAGTAATTTCCTAGTGTCCAAGAACTCTACCATTCACCCGTCAACTTCTTACCCGTCGTCAAAATCCAGAAGCAAAAAAGCGATCGTTCCGATTTCGAAAAAACTTCACAGACAGCTAGCCAGCTCAGCTAGCTCAGCGCGCATGCAACAGTGACACTTCAAGCCATGAATGCCGCTCCGCCTCCACGCACGGCCGGCCGTGAGCTAGCTAGAGACAGCTAGCGCGATCGTACCAGATGCGAGCTTATTCGCGCTCTCTCTCTCTAGCTCTGCAGGCCGCACCGACAGGCCTTTGCTATTCTCTGATTGCCGATTGGTTGAATCACGCCAAATATGACGTCATTATTCTAGGGAAATGAACACGTGCGAATCGGAATGGAATAAACAACAGGGATTTTCTAGTAAGTACAAAAAGTCAAATGTTTGATATTTATTCATAATGACTGTTAATGATTGTGAACATATTATTTAAAACTCGCTGCTCATATAAATCAGATGAATGTTTTTGTCTCGTTTTCAATTTATTACTGCGGTCTCAAGATCCGACCGAGCGAGTCATTTTGATAATAGTATCGAGACCCCCAGAATATAAGCCGTTGTTGTTTTGTTTTCATGGTTTTAGCGACGTTGTTTAGTCTAGTTTTCGCATACTTATCCGAGATTTATCGTAAAATATCTTCAATATTATTATTTAGTAAGAATTTACAAATTTTGGCATGATATTTATAGCAGTGAATGATGAAATAAAAATGTCCGTACTTTATTTAAAATAGTTGATTACCCATTATTTACATGACGTTTCTTGATGGAAGAGTTGACCCAAATTATTAACAGCTGAAAATTAGCCTGCGTTTCCAAATGACAGCGGCTTGCACAGACACACATGTGATGTTGCACCATGGTACATGTGGCTACCATTAATGACATGTTTGTATCATATTTTTTACAACAGGGTCATTATGCTTTTTTACATGACTGAATATTAAAAACTTAAACCTGCTTGAACCATTCTACCTTGCCGAGATTCATGTGAATCTGATTATTTATGGAGAATCAATAAAATGCGTTTTTTAAACCTTCAACCATCCTTTGTTGACCATTTTCTTTGACATATTAGGTTATTATTCAGTACAGTTACACTGTACATGTATGTGCATTAATTTGCTATCTAAAACACTAACTTATCATTACGAGATAATAAATGCTTTAACCTCGAGTCCTTTTTCGCTTTAAAGTTTTGGGCAAGTGGAAATATTGTTTGGGCAAGTAAATTGAAAACCCACTTGCCCGACAGGGCAAGTGGTGAAAAAAATTCTTGTAGCACCCTGGGGGGGGGGGGGGGGGGGGGGGGGGGGGGTAGAATCACACATAATACTTACCAAGTGGTTCAATTCTAAGTCCATTATCCATATCTGTAAAGAAATATAAGATAAAAAGAAATTTTAGTCAATGCTATTTCACTTCACTTCAACAACTCCCTTAATTTCAGGCTCGATCAAATACCCTATTTAATTTTCAAAATAAAAAATACAATTTCTGTAAAAACACCGTCTATGGACCTATACATGACATGTAGACTATGTGACATTGGTGCCCAACAGATTTTGTGGGGCAATCACATCAATTTATTATCAGCAAAAAAAATCTGCCTTAGATCTATGTCTCTTTTGCTATTTTCTGAAGTTATAGACTAACAATTAATGTGAAAAACCAAACAATGACATAAAACACCCTCCATCCGGCAGGCGATGATCGAGTTGTCCAAAAAAATAATGAATTAGGAAATGTTCATAAATATTAACAGGGAAGGGTTATCTTATAGTTTGGGCTTTCAACATGATAGACGGGCTGTCAACTTTGGGGAACTGCTCCGAGGGAGATCGTATACAATTCTTTTGGCTCAAGGGGGGGGGGGGGGGGGGGGGTTGCAAAAAAAATTGCTCACTTATACCCCCCGGCCCCCCGCGCTGAGCAAAATAATTGCATACGATACGCTGGTTCATTTTACACGTTTGGCAGGAGGTTTTTTCAAAAACCGGGAGATTGTGGGAAGAAGGGCGTGGTGCACGCATGGTGGCGGGAATCTCCCGCTACGAGATGGTGGGACGGCGGGAAAATGAGCGTGGTGCGTGGCGTGAGACTCCCTCCAAATGCGGGAGTGTCCCTGGATAGAGTCTTCTGAAGGAATAATGTGGAAATAAGAGAAGGTGATTTGGCTCTCGGTTTCAAAACATCTGCCTGTCAGACCAAAGATCACCTAGATCTACATGATCTATGGCATGTAGGTTCCAATTGTACACCCAGATTCTAAACATTTTCAAACAACTATCCATAAATAATTCACCAGAATTCAATCAAAATCAGCACTTCACTGACGTATCTGACCTGATTGTCGCGTACATAGACGATTTATGACACTAAATAGCAGCAAAACGCAATCTTTTAACTCACGTACCGATGTTGGAAAAATTCTTGGAACTTAAAGTTGGAAGTTTATATTTATACAGATAAACAGAGTAGAGTAGGCTATTTACTTACTTACTTACTTTGTAGGCCTACACAAATTCGGTTGTAAAAACTCGATCCATACCTTACCATGTCGCGCGTACGAAAAAATCCGTAAATTTTCGGTGAAATGGAGCTCAGGGCAGGTGCTTAGCTAGGGACCGAATTTTAGGCGGTCGATTTTCTTTTCATCGATCTTCAGTAGTTGAAACATTACGCAACGCAGACGGAGGAAAGTCAGCGGTGGTTTCTTCAGTTCAGTTTCCATAGATCTTTTCATTTCATAAAGTCGCCCAGATTATATATTAGATGAAAATTAGAAAGTTGATCGAAAACAGACTTAACAAAGAAAGATCTTACGTACCTCTTTACGTACTCTGTGTGCAATATAGGTCTAATACGAGAACACAAACACACCGCCGCTGGTGATAATGCAGCAACACGAGCAAGAAGCAACTGAGCTGAGCCGAGAGAGAGAGAGAGAGAGAGCAGTCGATCAGCTGTGCTCAAAGGCTGTGCTAGCTATGCTATTAAAACGTAAACAAAAATGGGCGTGTCAAAGAAAAAAGGCGGTCCTTCAAAATGGTAGTGCCAAGACAATTTTCAGAATACTAATTTACAACAAAATATCGTGCTCTATTTTCTCCGGAAGATACAAGAAAAGTTAAAACGAAACTTACAACATTTGTCATAATACGATTTATATATTGGTCGTTAGAACTAGGGAGGTACCTGTATATGTGAAACATCGATTATTCGTAATAATGTTTTTAATTTCAATTAAGATTTTCGGCCATTGGATTTTTGTCACACAGTTCATATGTTGAAATAGAAGAAGAAAAAAAGAAGAAGAGGAGAAAAAGAAGAAGTTTGATGTTTTATATATTTATTGATTGATTGATTGATTGATTGATGGATTGATTTTTTTTTTTTTGGGGGGGGGGGGGGGGCACATACATGAAATTGATCGACGTCCTGGGGAGGAGTCTAAAAAAGTTCAACTGAACTGTATGTGGTGTTCACGACAAAAGAGGCTCGAAATTATACCGAGGCGATTCATGTATTTTAATACGTACAAAAAGTTTCTCTTTCTTTTATTTTGGTTTTTATTTGGGATATTTTAGACCAGTTTTAGGGTCAGGCCAATATACTAAACACACGTGAAAACAAAGATTTCAAAAATGATTATAATTCCCCGCGTATCCCTAACTTGACATTCATGAAAATGTACATGAAATTTCGATAGGACTCTTAAAATGCTCAATGAAGGTTACAAAAAGTCTACAATATTACACCGGGAACAACCTGCACAATCTTGCTTTCGATCGGCATTTTGCACAGCTGACAGTTAATATTGTTCGTCGACCATGAGGTGTTTTTTTTTTTTTTTTTTTTTTTTTTTTTTTTTTTTTTTTTAGGGGGGGGGGGGGAAGGCAATGATCGTGAGTAAGACCACATTGCTCAGGGCCGTCGCCAGACCATTTTAAATCGGGGATGGGGTGCCGGAGCCGAAGAAAAAAAAAACAATCGGGAAATTTGCGGACAAGGAAAATCAAGGTTAGGATCTGGCGCCGGTCTATAATATCAGTGACATATAAAATTGAGAATATGTGATCTAGAGATGAAGTAACTTCTTTTCAGCAAGCCGTACTAATTTCATTTTCTATCTTAAACCATGATAGCCTTTCCTTGTCAGACAGGGGATAGGGAGGTGAAAAGCAGCATTAAACAAAAGTAAAAAAGAAATCCTGATAGCAAAGAAATGTACACAGACAATATCGAAGTAATAATAATGTATGATTCCGTTTGTCTATATATGCTTGTATATATATATATATATATATTATATATATATATATATATATATATATCTCACTCTCTGTATCTTGTCTTTCTTTGTTTCTCTATTGTCTCTCTAATTATATCCTAAAAAAGAAAAAAAAAAAAAAAGCCATTTTCTCCCCTTTCACTTAAGTTTACCCTTCCAACAATAATATTTTTATTAGGTTCTCATTTTCTATTGGCATAGGCAGAGATTCCCCAATATTTGACCGGGGGGGGGGGAGGGGTGGGCTGCATGGGCTATTTTATCACCCCCAATGTTATGCATTATGTTTATGATAAAATGCTCCCCGAATAAAGGCTTCCATGTTGAATAAATCCAAGCTATATGAGTCTATACACATACAAAACAATATATAAGTCATACTATACTAGACCCATTCCTGAATGTTATAATATGGCCTATTATCAATACATAAAATGGATTTCTTGGCAAATCCTCAGTTTTTAACATGATTGCCTGAATTTAAAGCTGCTGCTGTACAAATTTCTTGTGTATTTATCTGCACCATTAACTTTTCTTCACATCGTGATGTTCGATTGAGATGCTTTGGCCGGGTGTGTAATGTTTTAATGAACTCATGCCTGGCTTTATAGTAATTCGGAAATTGGGAATATTATTGAACTCGCGATAGCAGCGGAAAGGGTGTGCATTAAAGAAAAGGCGGGATATCCTACTATACCGTACAAAATAAATTTGCAACATTGCACTATACTTTGGTTCCTGGTAACCTATCCTTAGTAGTTTATTTCAATGGATTTTTGCACTTTACAAAGCTTTCTAAAGCAACACAAAATACTTAATGTTGAAGTAAATAATTATTGTTAAGAAATGTTAAGAAATGTTGAAGTACACTTAATTGTTTTGAAAACTATGCTTCAGTAATCATTGTAATACTGTTTTCCGTTTCGTGGTGTCACTGGTGTGGATGAAGCCCAAATGTTCTATTCAGCGCCAGCTTCGCCCTTCCACAACTTCACTAAAACATTTGAGCTGAATACAGCTAGGGTCTAATAAGGTGATTAAAAATTAAACATTATATGAAGAGAATTGTGAATGATATTCATATAGCGAATTTATCTAATTTTTCCTACAGGTTTTAACTGAATCACACGAATCAAGTTTCAAAAATCCGAAAATATACACGTTTATAGACATTGGTATATATCCCTACATTGTGATTACATTATCAGGGATAGTTCCAATAACTTGTTTCTGATTATACACCATACAATGCTTACAAATCGTACTTTGCAGTTGGGTGTGATGCGCTGATAAATCATTTGCAAGCGAGGAAAAATGTTAAGATTTGCAGTTTGTGAGGTCGCAGGGCGAGAAATCAATTCTTATTAAGAGGAAAAAACCCAATCCTGATGGGGGTTATAAACGGAAGACTGAAAAGACCTAATGATAATGATATCATCCATCATCTATAAATGCGAGCGAACTTTAGGGGGAAATTGCTTTCGCTTGAAATTAGGTGCGCGTTCAATAATGCGAGGAAAAGAGGACACTAATCGAAAGGGATAAGACACTTAATAGAAAAAAATGAGCACGTGTCAAAGTACAAAAGGTAATTATCAGAGGTGAAAATGGGGCACTTATTACATCTACAAATAGAGGTACTCACGGGGGATGAAATATGGGCATTTTTCGACGGAAAAGAGGCATCAACCAGATATTTAATAGGGGCGTTTATAAGAGGTGAAAAGGGGGCATTTATGAAAAGGGGTTAGGTCCCTAATTATTAGAAAGGAAATAGGAAAGTATCATTTTTAAAAGGGGTACTTATTGGAACTGAAATTGGGCACTTGTGAGAATGAAAAAGGGGCACCTAAATTAATAAAGGAAAATGTGCATTAGTCGAGAGGAAATAGGCACCGATCAGATTTAATAGGGGCATTTATTGGAGGTAAAATGGGCCTTTATGAGATGGGGGAACGGGCTCTTATTAAAAAGAGGCACATGTTAAAATAAACGGGGCACTTATCAGAGATGAAAGGGGAGGGGGGGGGGGGGGGTGATTATGAGAAGGAAAAAGATCATTTATTAGAATGGAAAAGAGACACGTGTCAAATAAAAGGGGCAGTTTGAGATGAAAAGAGCACTTATCAGGAGAGGAAGGGGCACTTGTCGAAGTGAAACGAGTATCTCTCAGATTTGAATAGGGGCAATATTATCGGAGGTGAGGGCCGGGGGGGGGGGGGCACTTATCTTAATTGAAAAGGGTAATTTACCACAGATGGGCATTTATGAGAAAGGGAAGGGGTCCTTTTTTAAAGTTTTTAATTCTATTTTGATAGATGGGGGCACTTATTATAAAGTAAAAGGTACACATGTGAAAGTATTTGGTACGCTTATCAGAGTTTAAAAAAAAAGGGGGGGGGGTGTAATTAAAAGGAGAAGTTGCAGTTATACAAAGAAAAAGGGGCACCTCTCAGATTAATAGGGCAATTATCAGAGGTGAAGGAGGCACTTTTCACGCCAGCAGAAAAGGGGCAATTACTAAAGATTAAGGAGGGAACTCATGAGAATGGAAATTTATTGCAAAGGAAAATGGGAAGTTGACAAAGGAAATGGGGGCACTTATCAGAGGTGAAAAGTGGAAGGGGCACCTCTTAGATTTAATAGGGCAATTATAAGAGGTGAAGGGGTCACTTCTCGTACCAGAAAAGGGGCACTTACTAACGATTAAAAAGGGAACTTATGAGAATGGAAAATGGACACTTATTGCAAAGGAAGAAGTGAACTTGTCAAAGGAAATGGGGGCAGGTTGTCTAAATAAAAGGGGCATTTATCAGAGGCGTAGAATTTTTTTTTTAAAAGTAGAAGGGGCACTCTTACAAATTAATAGGGGCATTTTTCCTACGTGAAAACGGGCACTTTTGGGGAAATTGAAAAAGTTGGGGGGGGGGGGGCGGAGGGTCCCTCTGGTCTGCATCCCTCAAAGAATAACAAGAAATTAATTACCTGTTTAGTACGTAGGTCACGCTTTTGTTTTGCAAATGAAATGCAACTTTATTTTGAAATGCTTATGCTTGAAATTTATAGTAATCTGAATATCACTGGTCAACGAAAGCAACGAAAGTAAAAACAAATAAATGTATGAACAAATTACAAACTAGTAATAGAAATTCAAGCAGAAATCATCATTTTCTGATGATTAGATTCCTCTAAATTTAGGCTAAACTTGCGAGGCGGCTGAATTTTTTGACAGTTTTCAATTCAAAAGCATCATGTTACATAATATTTAATGTGTTATGTATTGGCATCTCATAGCCAAGGATTGTAACACTAATATGTTACATAGTGCTAATATAATTACAAATCAAAAATCATGTGAATAGGAAGATATTGCACGATTTGTAACCTTAAACAAAAATTACCTCTCTTTTATTGATTTTAAATGCTTCATATGCAGGAAGTAATAAACATCCTGACAACATAAACGTCAGTCCATTACAGATGACGAGTGAAAATAATATTATTAGAAAAAAGCATACAAGCACTGTAGTAGCCAGTCTTGGTAATTTAATGGTATCATTTACAGTTGAAGTACATGTATGGCTGAGATGTATACAATACTGTATGAAGATGTATTTTAGATGAAATGCTATAAATATTTCAATAGCCTAGCATAGTGCCTATTATTATGCACAGAAATATAATTACCGGTAATTATACCACCTATGCCCCGTGGACTGTCTGTACACTACCTGAATTCATAACTTCATCTCTTGATCAAACAATATACCTACCCTAAAAACTCAAAACTTTTGGCATAAAAACGATCTGAATATTAACTTGATAACTTTAAGATACATGTAATGGAGCACAAGTGGGTTACTATATTTTAACTTTTACACAATTCATTCATATAATTTGTATATATGCAATTCCATTGCAACCAAAACCCTGATTTGCTAAAGAACCTTATTTTCACACCTTTAATTTAGAGAAAATATCAACCCGATACAGCATTCACTCCCAAAGTATACTACAACTAAATACCTCTAACAGTGTCTAATATACATGCACAGTAATGCACTCCCCAAATCTTCCTCTTCAATTTCAATTTCATTTAATTCCACAGATTCATAACACAATATAAATTACAATCAAATGTATAATCATTAAAGGCAAAAGATGAACCTGCAAAAGGGGTGATCAAAAGCCACAGAGGCTTATCAGGGATCATCCCCTGCTTAAAACTACAATATTAAAATACAATAGATTTGTATTAATCAAACAATAAACAAATACAAAAATATATATATGTATTACAAGCAAGTCTATGTGTGGGGTGAGTGGTGTTGTACCAAAATTATAGAGGGAATAAACGAATGATAGGAAAAGAAAATTAGTGAGAAACACCATACATACTACATATACATGCAGGTGTCGTGGACCAGTGGATATGTCACCGGACTGTGGATCACAAGGTCCGAGGTTCAAGCCCCCCCCCCCCCCCCCCCCCCCGCGGCATTAATATCCTTTGGCAAGACATTGATCTACATTTGCCACTCTCCACCCAGGTGTTAAATGAGTACCCGGTAGGATGCGAAAGCTAATGTGCTTAGATTAGCAAGTGTGCGCTTGTAAAAATGACGGCTGGCTGGAATGCTCCCCAGGGAGTGGACACTGTGCATACATTGAGTGCGGGTAAGAACGAATCTGAATAACCGGGGTAATAATATAAATATATATATCTGTAAAGCGCTTTGAGAGGACCTTTGGTCCTAAAAAGCGCTATATAAGAACTAGCTATTATTATTATCATTATTATATATCTACCAATGCAAGATAAAACTTCCCAATACGAACTTGCAATGCAATGCAAGTGCCAGTTATAAATTTACAAGCATTGTAATAAAGTGTATATCGTGGTAAGTTCACACATATTTACACACCATCTTTGAGCCTACATGCACCTATGCCTTCTCTACATAGTTACATATATTCCTGCATGTGCTAAACTATTATGGGCATGTCCTTCTGTATATATAGATAGTTCTACATCAAATTAGAAAGAAGATGAAAAAAGACGAAAGTTATGACAACTTTTTGTATAAACATTCCATTAAATAAAAAGAATATTAGATGATGATGCTTGTTACTTATATAGATTTTTAGGAAAACAAAGAAATTCCTCATTTTTCCCATGAAATAGTTTGAGTGTTGCTAAATCGGGAAAACACATTGTTTCATGAGAAATCCAACACTGATGCATATCAAATCATTCATGTATAATATACTGCCCGAACTTACTGTTTTTGCCTAAAATAAAGCATGTATTTATCAACATAATACATACACACACACACACACACGCATATATACAGTGTATATATATTATATATATCTATAATACAGGCGTACATTATATACAAATATATTCATATACATGTATATAAAAGAATCTGGGTTAACTCGGACTCGCTGTAAAAACTGTAATTTTGGGGTCATTTTACCCTACTCCCAAGTCCCAACCCTAAACCTAACCCTAACCCTTACGCTAAACTTAACTCTAAACCTGCAAAAACGGACTGTTTTTACAGCGAGGCCGAGTTGGCCGGACTCCATCTCAAAACATACACATTTCATTTCTAAAATGTAACACAACACAAAAAATATATTGAAATTTCACAAATTCACATACATGTGAAGGATTGAATATCAAGTAGAGGAAGCCAGTAAGAAACAAATTAAAGGTCATTATATTGTATACGCAAGATTCTAAACATAGAATGTGTCTTAAAACTAGTATAGCCCCTCTATCATAATGGTTGAATGAGCTCTTCAAATTCATGTTTTATCAATACGAACTACAACATGATCTACCTGTAAATCAATAACACCTGTCAATAAAGACAACTTTTTGTGCCTGCCTTGAGTGGTATATATATATATATATAAAGGTTTTACTATCATAGGCCATTTTTTGTAACCAAATTTATGCATATGGCGGCTTTGAGAAGTGCCTCGATACGCATTGTTTCATTCACCTGTTTCGAATAAATGTATCTTAATAGTCAGATTCAAAGATTATGTCTTGACCTACCTAACAACATATAATACATGCAAGGTGCATTCTGACTATTGAAATAAATTATTTGTAACAGGTGAATGAAAAAATTTGTGTCGAGGCAATTAAGTATAAATTTGGTTACATATTTTGCCCACACGATATGTTATGACACAATATGTCGTTTGGGCAAATAACATCTCAACAAAATTTTCCTTTCTTTTGAATAACTAACGTGGAAAGATGTCCATGGTAATACAAAGTGTAACTCATTGTAGGAGCAGCATTATATCTATTCTTTTTCATATGAATACAAGCATCAACCTTAAAAAACAATATCTATTAGTGAATTTTTACATGAATGACCTACACAGCTTTTCTGATGGCTGATCTCTTCTTATTTACTTTTTTTACAATAATGTTAAGAAAAGTCTTAGGAAAAAAAGAAACATAACATAAACATTCATAATTTATTTTTCTTTTAAATGCAAACAAAAACTATCCCCTCCAAAATTCCTTTACTACGGCATGTAGATTGTAAGAGAATCAACAATTGGTTGCCTGCACATGGGACACTCTGTTACCCTGGCAGCGCATTCACTACACGTTGCAAGATGCTTACATGGCAGGAAAACTGTACTGAGCTCATTGTCGAGGCAGATCTTACACAGCTGCTTGTCCAGGTAGCTCGGATCAGAACTTGAACTGGATACCGCTACATGAAAAGAAAGATAAACATGAATCATTGTGATAATATAAGGGAAAGAAATTGCGGGGCCTGTCTTATAAAGAATTACGATTGATCTTGATTGCAATCTTACAGAGTACAGAGTTGAGTTTAAAGTATTTAATAACAATTAAATTAAAATTCACAGTGGCCATTTCATCAGAGTCACACCGATGGAAAGGAAATTTCTCTTGCTCTTGAGCAGGAGAATTTAATTGCCTTTTTTTTCATCCGCGTTTATGTTCCTCTGTACCATTAATAGTGGCCATTTAATTGGAAGCCTCCGGATGCATCCAATGAAAATCAGGCCAGTTTGAAAGGGGTATTAATTAGCAATATGGGGGAGTCGATTGGGTCCACATGTTATGTCATTACCATAACTGTGGCATATTTGACCCCTGTTGACCCGTAATTTGGAGGGGTGCGGATAATGGGTATTTAATTTCTATTCCTTTATATTTGTACTCTACGTTCATTCAGCTTTCTATTGATATACATGTAGGTGTATTTTCATTGGATAAGGTCTTTAACCAAGTCTAGGTAAAGGCATGGGAATGATGTCTTCCATCACTGGTTACAGTGATGTCTACTAACCTGGACATCGTCCACAATCCAGAGGGGAGCAGCTGTGTCTAATGTATGTAAAAGGGGAGAAATGCCAGAGGAATACTTACATGTTTGAGGTTTAAGGCTCCCAATAGGAGTGACTGGAGCTACAGTTCTGGGAGATGAATTCATTCTTGACCTGGGCTCATCATGGATGCTAAGACCCGCCAGTTTCTCTGCCTGCCCATTAAAAAGAGAACATCAAGTTAAAAGATGATATAAATGAAAGCCCTAACAGTTGTGAAGCTCTTTCTTTCAAGTACTTCTGACACAACAGAGCAGGTCAATAGCCCACCATCAGCCTCATGCAGTTTCAATAATCCAAGTCTTAAACTAGGGCCGCCACTGAGTGCATCATCACCACAAGCAAAGAAGCAACCCAAGAAGAAAAGCAAACTAAGACCGGGAAAGTCGTAACTGTCAATTTCCAGAGTTTACAGAATAAGAAAAAAAACCTATTGGGAGTCAGTAGACACATGCAAGCCTGACATCATCGTTGATTCTGAAACCTGCTTAGTCCAGAGGTTAAGTTTTGCTGCCTGGTTACAACATTCCAGCAATCCGTAGGAACAGATTAGATGGCTATGGTGGTGTCCTCCTGGCAATGAAGCACAACATCATTGACACAAAGATTATTTGGACACCGAACAGGAGCTTGTGGTCTCAGAGATCAACATAGAAGGAGGTCCTAACTTGTTGTCATCTCCATGTACCGGCCACCTAATGGCTCTGTAAAAGAAGTAGAAAAAAAATGAAACATCATCAGTGAGATCATAAGGAGTAGACCAACCTCAGTTGAATGGCTTTCAGGTGATCTTAACTTACCAGACATCGACTGGCTCCATCCTTAGGGACAACTTGAAGTCACCATGATGTTCACGTCGCAGCTCGTTCATCAGTGTTTCATACTGCCCGTACAAAGGTCGCCTCATCAGCCAAGGGCGCACTCACCATCTTCTTCACCACCGTTATCTTTTTGCCTGCCTTACCTCTTCTGCCACTACAACAGCCAGAACAATGTAGAATCTGTAGTGTGACAAAGCCAGTCGCTCGCGCAACTCTCTAGTATTGTGGACTGCGGAGGTACGAGTGCCATTTCTCTTCTCTTGGACTCGTAAAAGTATGTCAAATGACAAGGAAAAGGCGACGCCTGTATATATCCAGCGAACAAGCAGGTGGGGGCCCTGCCGTACACCCGGAGGGCCATCGGCTGATAACCAAAGGAGCCTGGCCAGTGACCCGCCGGACAGCAGGGGTCAGCCAGGCATCGGTGGGTCGCTGGGGGGGGGGGGGGGGGGGTCCACAGGGGGGGGGCACGGCGGCCGATAAATGTAAACAAAAATTGACCCGCTGGACATCGCCATCGCTGCAAAAACAGTTACAAAGATTTTGAGCAAGCTTCATGAGGGTCACCAAAGTATTGAGAAGACAAGACTCTGGGCTTAGTCTTCAGTGTGCTGGGTATCGATCAACTATGACAAGAGAACAAGCCGTCACAGCCCTGTGAAATTCTGCTTCAGCATGAGGATACCTACGAGACCTTGCATGGCAAGTCTTCGGACAGACTTGTTTTGCTTTGAAGGGATCAACTAACTCATTGTTGCAGACTATGTTTCTAAGTTTCCCTTCATCTGGAAGATGCCTCATGAATGTAGCAGTGCTGCTGTTGTCAAGGCAACTCGTCAGTTGTTTGCTGAACAGGTGAGTCCAGAACGCATCATAAGTGCCAATGGTAGACATTTCGACTCCTCAACTTACAAATACTTTGCTACAAAGTGGGGATTCAATCATGTCATGTCAATTTTGGTAACTTGTACAATTACCGTTATCTGGACTGCTTAAATCACTGAAGGCAAAGTTAAAAAGATAGTAGTAATAAGGTGGACTTTTAAACAAATGATCATTTACATGAGCATATAGATTAATAAAGTATTTGATCAGAAAGACTTCGACCTTGGACTCAGTTTATTTTGCCGTATGGGGGATGGGATATGTCATCTAATACATGTACATGTTATGCTTGTGTTCTTACACACTCAAATACAACCATGCTGTGCTGGATTCAAAAGGCGGCGAGTTGGCTCAGTCGGTAAAGCGTCCGTCTGTCAAACCAAAGATCCCGGGTTCGCTCCCACCCAGATGGATGACTGAAGCCTGCGTTGTGTGCTAACGTGCCCCTTCCCTTGTTCATAGACGCAGGTTATGTCAAGTGGAAAACACTCCGTCCCTCGGATAGGACGTAAATGGAGGCCCCGTGTAGAGAAGCGTCACTACCTTTGCACGTTAAGAACCCACTGCACTATTTGTATAAGAGTAGGGGGAAACTCCGGTGTAGTGGTCCACCTGCACACACCCCCAGTATAGTACGATAATACTCTGTAAAGAGGTCTGTACTCAAAAGGAAGAAGAAGAAGAAAAACTAAATTCAAATGTTTTGGTGACTTTTGTTCTTATGATGTCATACAGCCAAACAAGGCCACATTAGAATAATCTTCTATTTAAAAGCATGATTAAAAAAAACTGTTTATATATATACTATGATTCTATTCTTTGTTACTAAATGCACGTACGGTAAGCTTTTACATGCCTTATCAGCACAGACAAAATAGTGAGTATTTCGCACACGTACCTGAATATCTACAAAACTTGATGCCGTTGCTGAGGCGCTTTCAGACTCCAGTTTCTTAGGTAGTTTCCTAAGGTAGTCCACATCATGGCCTCCTGAAGCCTTGCCTACACTTGGAGTCGGGTCAATGCCCTGACCTTGAGCTTCCCAGATTGATTCTAGGAGCTCATCAGGGTGGGAGAACTGTCGGCCTGTCTTCTTGAAGTGCTGCGTTACAACGTAACGGATGAGATCAGTGTGGTATCCCATTTCAACTGCCATCTCAGCCGTTGAGCTCTGCATGAAGACATCAATGTGAGCTGGTGGGAGAAAAAGCCAAGTAGATATTATCGAGGCTAGAAGATATTATCGAGGCTAGTAGATATTATCGAGGCAAGTAGGTATTATCAAGGCAAGTAGATATTATCAAGGCAACTCCTTTAAACATTAAATTAGGGCTACATTAACCCTATATAGCCCGGGCTATTTTGAAACTGCATAGCCCAGGGGGGGGGGGGGGCTTTTAAGGCCCCCCTATGATCTCGGCCGTGAAACGACCTATCGCCGCAAAAATTTGCATGCACGTCAAGTGTAGTGTATAAAATACTATGGTAATTTCAATTTTTTTGAAAAATTCACTCATTTGCATATTTATGGTAATTTATGCAAATATGGTAATAACATTCACATTTTTATCCATAAATCATATATTCTTCATATTTAAACATTAATTTTCAATACATATATCATTTAGACCATTTGGGATAATAATAATACAGCCAAAAAATTTGGAAGAGCCAGATTATTCCTTATGTTATCTATTGTTTTGATAATTTCTTTGTTTTTTTAACTTATGTATTTTATTGTTTTTGTTGTTTTATTTCATTTCCAACTATAATACAACTATTTTTGACCCCAAAATAAACACCTAAACTATAAACAAGACCAAATAACCAATGTTTTATCTCTTTATTTAAAAAATGAGATTTTTATATGTTTTGTACACAAATCACAAAAATTTGCGATTTTCGGGCTGACATGCAAAGACAAAAGGACACGTGACTTTGTAATGGTAGGTCCGATTTTCGAAAAATTTCTTTCAAAAGATGCGCAAGACTCAAAAGAAAAAAGTCACAAAATTTCAGTGCAAGAATTTCTTGCATAAAAAAGATAATCACGAAAAAACAGTAAATAGGACCCCTAAAGGCCCTAATAGTTCATAAGAGCACTTAACCAGCCCCCCCCCCCCCCCCCCCCCCCCCCCCCCCCCCCCCCCCCCCCCCCCCCCCCCGGCTAGATAGGGTTAAGTGCTCTTATGAACTATAAGGGGTCATATTTCAGACAGCAATACTGTTAAAAGCCAATAATCTCTTTAAAAGCAAACAAACAAGGTCAAATAAATCATACATAATCTCATGGCAGTATGTAAGAGGAAAATGATACCACAACCCTAATCTGTGGTTATAAATTAAATTGTGCTCAAATTTGCTGCAATCAATGCATTTCTCCTAATAGCTAAGTGAGTGCAACAATCGACACATAAATCTGCTTACAAGTATATTAGCGATAAAATTCCAACCGTCAGTAATACAAGTATTTTTTTTTTCTTCTCCAGAACCCCAAATCTCGACAAGTACATGTACATACATGTAGCTACTACCTCATTGACATGTTTTGACGATTCCCTACCTTTCTGCATTATTCATTTTACTGTGCTTTTAAAATAATGTAATGTTATTGATGTCAAGACTTTTTGTGTTTCCTCTTCCTTTTCTGTGCAATTATATGTACTCCCATGATTTTAAAAATAAAAATAATTAGGACAGGCAGACACATGACTTACAAGTGGCATTGCTCGGCTCATCAACCAGCTTTGATTTCAAAGCAGATGGCTCCGTTGTCTCAATTTTTTTCGGCTTCGGTTTGAAGTTTATTGCCGCCGCTGCTTCCGGTTCCTTGTGTTTGGATTCGTACTCTCGAAGTGCAGCAGTTTTCTCTTCCTCAATCGTCATCTCCTTTTTTGACTTGGTTAGAGGCGGTGATGGTTTGGACGAAGCTTGACGAGGTCTCTCCTCGTAGGAAGCCTGAAATCTGAAAGGTGGCTCAACATGGGAGTACGGCTCTTCTGTTCCACTAAAGGTTGGGGCTGTGAAGTGTAGAGGCTAAATAAAGATAAATATAAGCATGGTTAGCTGTGGAAAGTATTTAAGCTTCATATTTCTAGAGGAACTACAGAAGCAGAATGAAATTACTTGTGCTGTTAATAATAAATGTCTGACACCACATCCATGTGAAAATGAAAAGGGAAAAAAAGGGAAAGAAGATAAGAGTGAAACCTGAACCTTATCCTGTTTTGTGATTTTATTTTTGGACGATAGTCAAGGAAAAGAACTTTCAGATTTGCGGGCGAAACAGCCACTCCATAGCTATCTGGCAATGCTATTATCCATAGGTTAAAGTTTGCTAACAATAACAAAAAAACACCCCCAAAAAACAAAAACAAAAGAAATACTACTACTACTACTATTATAAAGCTTTCTTGTTTCACATATAACACTTTACATAAATGTTTTCCTATGTATTGATATAATGTTAGTGATATTTTGAACTTGTTAGGATTTCCCTCTTTAATGCACCATTTCTGGTCAACTACTACATGAACTCATGCAGCTTAAATAAGATCAGGAAGGCAAGTCTAAAATTCTATAGGGCAAACCAGGACGTACCTCAACGTAATTATGGAGACCTGTCCCTGCAAAATCCTGCTCATTCTTGCCCTGAGTTGTAGTTTTAGTGCCCTACAAAAATTTCAAAGAATTTCAAAGACTTCCAAGATATAAAGGGGAACTTGAAACTACTTGAAACCATCCACAATGTGTCATAGCTATTTCTGGAAATATTTCACGAAGTAAAGAGGGAAATACTAAAGTCCATGCTCATTCAGCAAATAAAAAGATTTTATTACAGTATAGTTTTCTACATGATCATTTCCTTATGTTTGAACTTTGAAATAGTCCTATCACTTTTACGACCATGACATGTACAGTAAGTCATCTTTAGTTGAAGCTTGTGTAAGTGTAGAGACATGGGAGTGAGTTTGATGTAATATTTAGGACTTTGAATTGTGCAATATTTTGATACATACATGTACACTTTAGCTATGTCCTAGTCATGCAACGTACAACTGTACATGTATTTTGTATGACGTTAGACATGTAAGCTTTGCCATTATGGAGGGTGTTTCATAACTAAAATTAATTTGCGATATTCAAATTCATGAAATAACCCTTGCTCATCTTTAACCAAATCTCATTTAAAATGAAAAATATGCATTAATCTTGACAATAAAACCATTATAGAGAGCGATCATAGAATATCATTTGGCTGATAAAAACAAACATAAACACAATGACAAAAAAAAAAATTATCAGATTTTCAGCACTTTAAACAAGATCGACTGATGATAAGTTCATACATGTAGATGGGGGATGCATCTCAGCTGAATAAAATCATCACTACACAAACCAATGAGGTCTATACAGTGTACACTGTACAATCATTTAATACATGTTGTTTATTTACACATTAAAACATGTCTAGAGTTTAAGTACGTTGGATGAATAATAAGTTGGTTAAACAAATAAAAATGCCATTTACTGGGTGCTGTGGCAGTGATTACCCTTGGCTTTATTGCATAACAAATAGACAGTTAACCCAGTTTTTAAAAGATCATGGTTGCATAGTGTTGGGTTAAAACGTATAGTGTTATGTACATTATAGCACTAGGGTTACCGCTAGATTTTTTGGTCCAGGGCTGAAGTATCAAATTTGGTTAGAGTGTGACTTTGACCTCTTTAGTTTCTGACCATCATTCTTCCAACTATACTTCTGCATCACCAGGAACCCCCCCCCCCCTCTTTTGCTTACATTATTTTATCGTCAGTGCTCATGATCAGGCCTCAATCTTCACTTATCTTGAAGCTTTGGCCAGTCCTGTTAAGAATGATCATGTACATGGATTTCTTTATATCTTTTTTTTAATGAATGAAATAAATGAAATGAAATGAAGTACAATCACTCACTGCCGGTGTGCCGATGGGTGGAGGGTTGACCTGCTGAACATGAGCGATGAAAGCCTGCCCTCTTTGCTGGATCAGCCATTCGCATCTTGGGAACCACTTGGCATGTTCTGTCCACGGTTCATCTGTCGGCTCCCAGTTCTTCAGACCTCCGTCACAGTAGAAACACTTGCATTCATCAACTAATCCTGTCATAGCAATCATTGTGATCCATTAAAAAATTAAACAAAACTTTGTCATAATAAAGAAGAACTTTGTCTTGGATTGTTTTACATTATTCAAAGTCGCTTCAATGATTTGACTTTTTTTTGCTATGCACACCGGTAGGCCTACAATATTATGTAATAAGTTAAAGGAGACATAGAAGCATAGAACCAATATTAGAAGGACCTTGAATATATTAAAGGAATTTATAAGTATTCAGGTTTGTGCCATCTATTCAATGTCTTTAAAAATTGCAATCATCAGCACACTAGTGCATTCACTGCATTTAAGGCAGTTTCTGCTAGCCCTACATTTGCCTAGGGAATTCGAAAAGTCATGTACTGTACATGTATTGTTTTTTCAATCATGCATGCAGATCCAGAGGGACAACCTACTTGGAATGGAGAACACAGTTGTAAACATCAAAATCAAGCAACCAGCACTAGGGTATTTATACTGGAGGCCTTACCTGTGAAGTAAAACCCAGCCTTGGCAAGAATTCGTGGAATCACGTGAAGTCCTGGGTTGGCCGGCCAGTTCCTAAATGTTCCTAGTCTTGCATTTTCCTGCACAAAATTAGGGTGTTTGCAATTATTTAAGGGTCCCATCTGTGCCCTAAGGGTTCTCTGCTGCTGGAGAAATTGTCCTGCTCTTAGCTGGTCTTGAGTTGGCATAGGTGTTGAGTAGCTCCGTATCGGCGCTGGCATACCAACGTGCATCACCGGAGGAGTTGAAATTGGCAAATTACCTACATCAAGACCTTGCACATAGGGGCAGCTCGGGAAATGTGCTTTATGTTCCACTGCTGGTACATCACATGGTTTCCATCTACTGATTTGTCCAAAACATGCAAAGCATTGAACAGAGTCATCGTTATTTTGATAGTAGAATCCAGCCTTTGCTAAATCACGGGGCTCAATGGGACTTGTCCTTGGCCAATTCTTGAATGACTGCAAACGCACATGCTCCTGATTGTATTTCCCAAACATACTTGGTCCTTCCTCTTCCTCTTCCATTTTCTCATCTTTTGCTGCAGAACTACTGCTGGTTGCAGAAGACCTTACAAGATCTCTTTTGGGTTCACTAGGCTCAACCCTCTCTATCATTGCTTCTTTTTCTTTCGCTCGTCTCTCAATATCTCTCTGTGACTGCTCAATTTTACTACTAATTTTCTGTGCAACCTCTGGTCTCTCGTTCATCTCCAATAGTGGTACATTCAGAGTAATCCTTTCATTTGCAAAAGCACATGTTTTGAAAAGTCTTTTGTGTTCTCCCATTGCAGTATCCCCAAATTCCCAACCTTCTACCACCCCTCCACATGAAAAGCATTTTACTGCATCCCTGACACCAGTGAAGTAAAACCCAGCCCTTGCAAGACGTGAAGAATTCATTGGACAGTCCCCCGGCCAGTCTTTAAACGTTTCCAGCCTGTTGAGCTCATTATGCATTCCACTACCAGAGACTCTTGCTTCAATCTTGTCTCTGTTTATCCTTCCGTCAGGAAGAGTCATAGGTTCACCATCATGTGCAGATACTGGTCCTTGACAGTCAGCTTCATCATGCGCACTTGCTGCACATTTCATTAAATCTCTTCCTTCCTTCATTGTATATAAAGCAGGTTTTATATCGGCAAGGAGTGATTTCAATGTCACTCTGTGGCCATTGAATTGTACATACAGAACATCAGTTGACATGATTTATCAATATACTCATACTTTCCTCGACCTTTCCAATTCTTACAAAGTTTCCTTTGAAAGCAACATCCGCAACTCTCCTGGGAATAAGGTGATGCAATTACTCAGACTGAAAGATGTAGATTATGGCTTTATAAACTGAAGATTGTGCTACTTTGTAGCAATTAAATGTAAGTAACTATGAAAATTTGAATCAAAGCAATGTCTTGTCGCTCATACGTCTTTTTTAATCATGTGATGTTCCTTTTATGATGATTGACATGTATCTTTACTGGTAATCTGTACATGAAGTGTCAACTTTAGCACCTTACATGTTCCTCTGTTGGCTGTATCCTCCTGGTTGCTTGTCAAGAGTTGCTCGGTACAGAACCCTTAAAACGAAACACAAAGAAAATGAATTGTTTTATGAAATTGTAGATTTCTTTCAAAACTGCTTTTTTTATACAAAATTTCAAAATTTAGCAGGTACTGGCCATATTTCCTACATGTACATTGTAAGTCTCTTCATGCAGGACTTTACAAGCTCACATCTAGAAACCAATTAATCTTTGACAATATTATGTAATTTATTGAGAAGAAATTTTGAGTCAATCTGTCCGATAATCAAGTAAAATTCACCTGCTGGTTGTTATTAAAGTTGTGATCAATGCTAGGCTTTGCTAGCAAAAAGAATTTGAAGTTGTTCTTACAGATCAAATGTTGTACAGATCTAGATCTTCTATTGAATTAGTGAACTGTGCACAGTGCATGTAGGAAATAATCCTAAACATGAGATGAAACCAAAACTTGCGAAACACACTGAATATTTTTTGATGATTACACCAGTTTAATTAAAGGGAAATATTCCAACTTCCGTCTTCCTGTATCTGAATCCTGTACTAAGTTAGCACAATTAAAGGTAGTTTGATCGATGCTGCCCATAATTGTTTTTGGTTAATCTGGACAGGTCCACATGATACCCCTGTGTAACAAAGCAGGTGCACACAGAGTTTGCTAAATTCAGGATACTAAAACTAATTGCTACTATATATTGTAAAGTATAAAGTACATGTATCAAATTTGCAATGCGAAAAACAGTTTTTTTTTGTACACTGCAAGTATTTTCGTTTCAGGCAGAACCCATTTCACGAACTCTCGTAAGAGGTCAGCATTCTTGTAATGTAAATTGCATGATAGCTCATTATCATCAGGAACACGTGGAAGGTCAGCAAATCATTCAATTTTTCACATTTTTGGTTCAATTCATGACCGACTTCAAAGTGCTTTGTAGGACAAAAAAGGAAGAAAAGAAGAGCCCACTAGTGAACTCGGAGTGTAGTTTGCAAGGTTTTTGGAACTTAGGTGCGGGAATGGTTGATGATGAACACATTATAGGTTTTTGTTTTTAATATCACTCTTTCACGCATGCGTAGCTAGGGGTGCCAATGAAGCCTAATTTATTTATATCAACACCTAAGACTGGAATTTAATGCTAAAACAGGATTTGACAAGAAGCCTATGACATAACTAGAAATATCGCAATCTGCATTCTGTATTGTCGCGCAATGCGAATGTTTCCCCCAGTATTTACAGCGATTTTTGTGTTATGATCCGTATGGTTGAGGGACAAAGATCTTTTGATTTTTTAAAATAAGGTATTTGACAGTATGAATCAGGCCTTCTCAACTGGTGGTGCGCCACTTGTGGCCCTTTGGGTAAGTCGGAGTAGCCACGACTGTTGCAAAAAAAGAAGTAGATTTTAGAATTAAGAACTCAAGAAATCAAGAAGTCGCAGTCGAAGTTGAGCCCAAAATGTCTGCAAGGAAGAGAGGGGAATTTAATGTTTTTTTAATCATGTTATACGACTCTAAACCTGAACAACAATAAGCTTACGATTTGCTACCAATTTTAACATTGATGATCTCTGGAAATGTATTGTTTTTGTTTGTAAAATTTTCACTTACTGGTAATTTTGACATTTCCTGTGTTTATTGCACCAAAATAACTACATATAAATTTATCGCCATTTTAAAATTATTCTATTTAAAGGTACTATGTCCCATTTGCAGGCCAGAAAAATAAAAAGGTTGAATTCCAACGGCATTTGAAAGACAATACTAATTTAGAACTTCCCTAAAAAAAGGGGGGCTTGAAAATGTCTTTTAGTGGGAAGTTAACGACTATTAGTTGTCAAATCGACTTATAAAGCCAGTAAGTAATGGTCTGATTTTTCAGACCATTATACCGAATGGTCGTACGTTTTATGCTGTGCAATGATTCAATCAGTTTAATTTTGGCCATTACAAGAAGTGGGTTATTGATGTAGACAAATGCTCATGTACCCTTTACAGCTCATTTTATGTATGTTATTACCAAAGATGAAAAGAGCCAGTCAGTCACTCAATAGTGTCTGACAGTGAAGTCTAGCAAGTAAACGGGTTTCCTTGCATAATTTGAATATTAGGACACTGCTAACGTTTTAACTTCACAGATAGGACATACATGACATATTCATTATTCCTGCAAAGTTCTACAGAATTTGATGTTGGCTGCAAAAGGGACATACTGTAGTATCTTTAACATCAGTAAGTTGAAACAAATTGTATTTTACCGCTATTTATGATTTAGGTGTCATCAATTGTCACTAAAGTAGATCTACCTTTTCGAGTGAAATCAGTTGAGTAATGAGTTGTACAGTTACAGTTGTTAGTCTAGCTATTTGAAATATTGAGAATCAAAGCTAGTGCATGTGCCCCATCCATCCCCCCAATCACGCTATATTACTTATTAGTACATGTATAGACTAACTTAGACCAAAAGCTTCAGTCTCTCTATATCGTAGGTTGTTCCACTGAGACTACGTCTGGCTCCACTACTAGACCTCCGATTATAGAGACTGAAGTACGGCCTATGGGGACTGTACGGAACAAATGGTTCGGTTCGGCCGGACCGCGATGAATGAGATGCAACAAGATTTTCACTCTTTACATCCTCATAAATGCTGCAATATTACAATAGTTAATTAAAAATTAAAAAATAACATAGCTTATTTGACTTACGATAGCTTGCACATTTAGATCCAAAAATTAATGATTAATCTGAGAAATTCTCGTAGTCAACATGATTCGTTGTCATCCATCTTGGTTTTAGTTGATGAATATTCATTATTTCTTTTCGAACCTCCAATCAGGGGCGTCGCCAAAGGGGGGGGGGTGTGGGGGGTGTGACACCCCTCTACCTGTCAGGATATTGTTGGTAAAATTGAGCTGCCGTCAGGAAAAATGGAAAAGGGGGAAGGAAAAAAAGAGAGGAAAAAAAGAGAGGGAAAAAAAGAGGGAAAAAAAAGAGGGAAAAAAAGAGAGGGAAAAAGAGAGGAAAAAAAGAGAGGGAAAGGGAAAGAAAAGAAAAAAAAAAAAAAGAAAAGGAAAAGAAAAGAAAGAAAGGAAAAGAAAGGAAAGAAAGGAAAAAAATGGAAAAAAAAGAGAAAAAAGAAAAAGAGGGAGGAGAGGAAAGAAAGGAAAAGAAAGAAAAGAAAAAAAGAAGAAAAAAGAGTGAAAGGGAAACAAAAGAAACGGGGGATGAAAGAGAGGAGAGAGAGGGGAGGTAAGAGTCTGAGAGAGGAGGAGTGGGAGTAAAAAGAGAGAAGGGGGTTGTTGGGTGGAGTCATCTCGTCGAGGGAGCAAGAAAGACACAGGTAAATATGTTGCTGTGTCGGGTCAGCTGTGTTGGTATTCTTGCTTGATCCTCGTGTACTATATACACTGTATGTTGTTTATATAATGTCTTTGTTTTCTACAATGTATTCTATTTGTTGTAAATCTTTCTATGTACAGGGCTCTTTTGTAAAACAGGCCTCTGGCACTGAAAAGACTAGCATGTTTTTAAATAAAACTGAATAAATAAATAAATAAATAAATAAATATCAATGCAGAAGTTTGAAGTCGGTGAGATGTATATTGTCGGTCGGCCGACAAGTTTTTTTCCCCACGAACTGTGACTTCTTATCCGCTGTGACGACTTCGAAAGTAACTACATGTACATTTACAATACTTGTATTATCTCGAAGTTTCACTTTCCTATAATATCAGCTAAAGAAATCAGAGGTTTAAAATTTTCAGGGAAACTAAATTCAAACAAGGATTAAGAGTCAACAAAGGAACGACGAATCTTTTTCTTTTCTCTATATTGTGATGAAACGCCAAAAATTCTGAGCTTTGCGCGGAAGGGGAAACTTCATTTATATGAGTCGAGAACGGTACAACGACTCGTCTTCCTTCTCTAATAATTAAAGGAAACGTCAAAGCATTCGCGCTTCACGCAAGAATGGGAAACTGAATTCAGACAAATAGGGCTTATTAAAAGTCGAAAACGGTACAACGAATCGTGTTCTTTCTCTAATAATTTGAGGAAACGTCAAAGCTTTCGCGCTTCACGCGAGAGGGGGAAACTGAATTCAGATGAATAGGGCTTAATAAGATTCGAAAACGGTACAAGGAATCGTCTTCCTTTCTCTATATTGTGATGAAACGCCAAAAATTCTGCGCTTCGCGTGGAAGGGGAAAACTTCATTTAGATCAGTCGAGAACGGTACAACGAATCGTCTTCTTTCTCTAATAAATTAAGGAAACGGGAAACTGAATTCAGACAAAATTAATAGGGCTTATTTCGAGTCGAAAACGGTACGTCGAATCGTGTTCTTTCTCTAATAATTTGAGGAAACGTCAAAGCTTTCGCGCTTCGCGCGAGAGGGGGAAACTGAATTCAGATGAATAGGGCTTATTAAGAGTCGAAAACGGTACAACGAATCGTCTTCTTTCTCTAATAATTTAATAAAACGTCAAAACTTCCGCACTTCGCGCGGGAGGGGGAAGCTTCATTCAGACAAGGATCAAGAGTCGAGAACAGTACACCGAATCGTCTGCTTTTTCTCATAATTTAATGAAACGTCACGCGCGGGAGGGGGGGGGGGAACTGAATTCAGACAAGGATAAACAGTCGAGAACGGTACAGCAAATCGTCTTTTTTTTTATAATAATTTAATGAAACGTCAAAGCTTTCGCGCTTTGCGCGGGAGGGGGGGGGGAAACTTCATTCAGCCAAGGATTAACAGACGAAAACGGTACAATTAATTGTCTTCTTTTCCTAATAATTTAAGGAAACGTCTAAACTTCCACGCTTTGCGCGGGAGGCCCATCACCCACACCCCCTAATGAGCGTGCTTTTAAGTGATTCTCTTGCTCACTACCGCCCCTCCCCAAAATAAGATCCTAGCTCCGCGCCTGCATTAAAATATATAGCTATGATGCTGACTAAATTGAAGAAATAATTTGTATATTTATGTCGTCTAGGAAAATGACCATTTTGCGCATATATGCAAGTACTATAGATATATAGTCCATAGGAAAAACAATTTAGCCTTCGGCCCCAGGTTTATAGGGTTGATTTTGTAGATATTGGACATTCAATTTTGTCGGTAATTGGTGGCTAGTTTTGTCGGTAATCGTTGGCCTCTACACCCCCCCACAGTAAAAGGTCTAGCGACACCCTTGCGTCCAATAGCTACGTACGAGTCAGCCCGGCTTGACCCAGTGATATATGAATATTCGTAAATCCTATGTGAAACAAGTGCTCTGATTGGCCATTGGCTATGTTTTGGTAGGTTGACCCGGCAATATATCTGCCGGGTCATGTCATAGCTTTCTAGTTCGAATGCATGAACCGGTTCTGAGATAAAAATTGGATAACTATATAGAGTAAAGGAGGGGGGTAATCGACCGTCGACAGTTTTCGGCCGGTCCGTTGGATGCATGGTAAAATCCCTTTAAAATACATGTACAGTAGGCCTTCATCGCATAATTGCATATCACATATCCCACACATACCATAAAATGCCAGAGTCACTGAAGAACCACATTTGCAATGGAAAATATATCCTTAATTATCACATTTTAGCGATGTAATCGGCGGTCCCGCTACCCGAATCTGAAAAATAGAGTATCTTACGCGTGTCTGTAAGGAATATGGGTACCATAAAATGTGCTTTATTTCAAGTATTTTTCAGATTTAGAGCCCGAGCCGCAGCGCACACACGATATCTCTGTCTAATTCAGATTCCAATTTCCGAACACCGCAGATATAGTTTTCGGCATGGCGAGCTCTGGCGTGGGATACCTGCTCCGCCCGCTAGTGCTATAGATCACCGGGGAAACGCACAGGGGGCGCACGCGCTTCCTTTTGACTTTGTACATGCGACCAAAAAACTGCCTCGCTAGGCCGATAACTGTTTCCGAAACAGTGAAAATTGAAATTAATATTGTCATGGCAATTCATGATTTTTTTTCTGGGATTCTTTTTTTGTTTGAATAATAATTTGCTTCATGATTTGAACAAGAAATGATAATAAATAGGAAGTAAAGTGTCCGAAAAATAGGATTTTGTATCAAGTGGCCGAAAAACCCCTCCTTTACTCTAGTCTAGACCTAAGTAACTAAGTCCGTAAATTTCGCATTTTGAAATAAGATTAAGAAATAAAAAGATGCACAAATGTAGATCTAGAGCTAGACTATGGCCTAAAATAAAAACTTGTTGTATTGCCCTTTGCGACCGATTCAAAATTCTGAAAATCTACGGTCGGCATTTTAAAAAAAGTTTTTTTTTTTTTACCGTTTTTTAGATTTTTTTTTAAATTAATGAATAGACCTAGATCTACAAAAATATGTATTTTGTTTGTTTAAACGGGATATAAATGCATAAAATCAAATTATTCAAAAATTCTCACTCGTGCAAACCATGGATAATTATGAGGTGAAAAGGATATGGAATGATGACGCTGAAACACATGTATTAAAGCACTACAAACTGAGAAATATCAGCCAAATGAGGGCGGGGAAAAAAAACAACAACATTCAAATCTGAAAAATATTGGCCCAAAAATGGTGACAAAAAAAAAAGGTAAAAAAAAAAAAAAACTTTCCCGAACGACCGACCCATGTTTTGGCACCCAAAGGGCAATGCAACAAGTTTTTATTTTAGGCCTATTAGAAGTCTAAATAGGATAAAAATATTCAGAGTTTGTTTCTATCTGATTTAGAAAAGTCTAGATCTATAGACTTCTCGAGGTCTAGACCTAGAGTCTAGATCTAGATGATAGATCTAGATCTAGATCTAGAGTCTAAATCAAAATTGGGGCAGAAAATTTCGGGAACCAAATTGTCAAAAGTGGTTCCGCTCCGGCTCTAGATTATTCACACGGTACGATTCGTCTAACTATTAAAGTTACCGTCTGTGTATGTACGTGTAGACTCTATTATTAAGGGACCAGACGGTTATTTCTGTCTAAGCAGTAGGCCTAAGTCTAACTTCTAAGACTAACTTACTAAACTAGGGTCTAGACTAGATCTAGACTCTAGATCTATAAAAAATGACATTGTAAGTCATTGACATCGTAAAACATCAAACTTTATCAAAGGACTTGCTTTCTGTCAGTTTACCGGAAGTTACTCACTATCGGCAATCATACACAAACTGCACTGTAAACAAGGCCGTACGACGAGACTAAGCTACGCACGCAAGCCCATAAGTATATAGGGGATTCCCCGTGACATCACAAAACTAAAGGACGCCATTTTAAAAAGGCTCACGACAATCTTTAACCGTTAAAAAATAGACTCTACAAGTACAGGAATGTCTACTTAGATCTACTTAAAACATCTCTACAACACTCGGAATATGTGTATGTACTTACGATAGAAAAGCGGTTACACTAAGAATGAAAACAAAGAACACTGCGTCCGACATTGAAGCAAATCGCCGACTCGGGGTACACCAAATGACGATGTAAATTCAGAGGGCTAGGGCCGCATTATATTACAGCAGTACGTGCGCCCAATCAGCGCGGTACCGGTAGGAGTGGTGAAGTGTGACGTCATCAAAAAATCTATTTTTAGAATTTCTCAATTTTTTTTCTTGATATTCCGAAAGAACATCAAAAATAATGTACAAATGTCGAAAGTATTGGCTGAGATATGACCATCTGAATGAATATATGTCCTATAGGAACTCAGTCATTGTTATATGCTCTGGCTCCTCACCACAGTTCCTATGGGGAGTCACAGCTTCGCTACTCTATAAAGCGTATGAATTCGAAGGTGCTCGTGATATATGACGTCATGATACGTCATCCGCATTGCTCGACTTGGTCTTGGATAGATAGATAGATAGTTTATTGGTTTCCACAATATCTCATTTGATAAAGAGTGTAACAACATATTGAAAAATGATTATAATATACATGTATACATACAATACCGGTACACACTATTCAGAAAACTGTCCTTCAGTTGAACTTAAGAGATATAGTGGCATGCAGAGCCTATTGAAAAGCAGAGCTTGTATATAGGCTCCTTAAACTACAATTTATGAAATACAAATACACGCTAAAACAGAGAAAGTAATTACAGGGTATGAACCGTTACTCAAAATTAAATACAAAAGACAAGGGAAAGGGAAGGGAATATATCTGCAGCTTATTAAAACAATAGTAGGCTACATACAATAGTTTGTTCTCAATATGAGTAGAATATATATATGTACATAATTATAGTTGGCATGGCCTTACCATTATTTACTCAACATAATCAACAAAAGTATACTGCTTGGAGACAAAATAGTCAGGAATCAGGAGTGTCATTAAAGTATTCAAATAATGTATTCAAATAATGACATTTCAAATTCCTTTGAATACAGACCTGTTAATCACAGATTCGAGAGAATTCCAGAACTTGGGACCTTTGTATTTTAAAACGCGATTCATAAGTGCAATGCAATGGTCGACCGCGGGATTTCAAAGAACTATCATTCACTAGTTTCGCTCCAGCATTGCATCAGCCTATTATTAGATTATATGGAACTATAAATAACTTCAAAATATGTCAAATAGTATTCCCTCCGTTCATCTGCCTTTACCATCCTAAAAGTCAGAGGCGGTCCTCCGGGGGGAGGGGCCGAGGGGGGGGGGGGGGGGGGGGTGGGGGGGGGGGGGGGGCGGTCACTTTCAAACACACAAGTGCGGCTACCAAGGCCGTCGGCCGTGTCCATCAACCTCTGAAATGGACCTGAAAAGGGACTCTTTTGGTTTTTGTGCGATCAGTGCTTGAAAAAAACCTGTTTAAGGAAAACGTCGACGCGACGACACCAAATAGCTGAAAAAACACCCTTTCGACTCTTTTTCTGGACGTGGGTGCGCAGCCAGTTATGTTGAGATAGACCCCTAGGGGCACATTGCCCCCACTTTTTCAAGTACCACAAAAGTGCCCTTTCTTCATAGGAGAGTGCCCCTTCTACTTTGACAAGTGCCCCTATTCATTTGTAATAGTGCCTCTTATTTTGACACGTGCCCTTTTTCCTTTGACAGGTTCCCATTTTCCTTTGCAATAAGTGTCCATTTTTCATTCTCATAATTGCCCTTTTTAATCTGTATAGTAAGTGCCCCTTTTCAGGTACGAAGTGCACCTTTTCACTTTTGATAACTGCCCTTTCACCTCTGATAATTGCCCTATTCAAATCTGAGAGGTGCCCTTTTACTTTGACAAGTGCTTTTTTTCATTTGTGAGAAGTGCCCTTCCCCTTTTAATAACTACCCCTTTTTATACTCGGGTAAGTGCACCTCATATTTTCACATGTGCCCCTTTTCCTTTCTAATATGTGCTCCCTTTCCTAATTATAAGTGCCCCCATTTAAAAAAGAGCCCCTTCCCCTACCAATAAGTGCCCTATTAAAATCTGATCGGTGCCCTATCTCTTTCAACTTAATGCACATTTTCCATTAATTGTAAGTGCCCCTTTTCTCACAAGTGCTACCTTTCATATTTGGTCAATGGAACTTTTCAGGGTAATGAGCATTAATTTTTTTTTGCCCCCGATATTACGCTCAGTGGGGGGAGGGGGGGAAGCAGCATTTTTTTAACCCCCCCTTGGGCTATAAGAAAAAATGAGGGGGGGGGGGTTAACCCCCAAAACACCTCCCAGCGTACGCGTCTGCCAAGCTTAGCTTAGATAATTCGATCACTTTAGAAAATGAAGCATCGAAGCTTAAAGCAGACTTTAACTTTAAAATTGATATACACTGTTGTTCATAATGGTGGAATAATTATTTTAACCCCAATTTATGGAATGATTTTGACAATGATTTATTCCTAGTAGATCTAGATAATACTATACATTCTCAGATTTTATTGAATAATAATTGGCGAGTGTTTGTTTTGCGTGATTGCTTAAGCATGTGTGAGCTACTATGCTAATCAACTAGGGGACCTAAGTCCTTAAGTCATAATTTACAGTAATGAGGATTAATGCCTCATAAAAGGGCAGTAATATAGCACATCGACACGGTTTTGGGGGCTCACAGTAATTAGGCCATTGCTTAGCCAATGAGTCATGACTGTACGCAGCGGGGGCTAGGGTACGTCGCCGCCCCCACATATGCAAAAAACAAAGAAAATGCAATAAGTTATCAATAATTCATTGCATTTTCCCCCGGTCCCCAAAGGAAAAATTCCTCTGCAGGGCCTTGAAGTATGGTTCAAGGCATGCCCATATAGAGAATTTGTTTTATGGGTGCCTGCCATAGCAACATGCAGAATTGACAACAGACTTAACTCCGTTTCGTTGACACTCATCCATGCATGAAGTCTTTCGTCTATGGCTGATTGTCAACGAAATAGAGTTAAGTCTTTTGTCAACTCTGTTTGTTGCTACGGCAGGCACCCAGTGAAAACGAATTCGTTTGATGAAATTATGGAAATGCAAGCACTACTTTAAACAATCAAAACTTTGTCATTCCTTGCTCATGTTTCTTGATTGAGGTGTCATATGAAAGGGCAGAAACTCAACTTTCTAGAAATGGGATTTTCTTTTTGAAATTCAGATACCGTCAGCCAAATGACTTTTTGGTTTCCTCTCTTCACATTCATTTTAATCACTTATGCGTGAAATATGCATCATATGAGTTGCATCAAAATGAAAGAGGAGTATCTAAGCTTTCCAAATATGTTTCATTTAAAAATTATGAATGTGATTAAGTTATGATAAAACATCGATAATTCTCGGTTTCGTTTTTTCTGGGACGCACTGTATAGTATTATCGCTCTTCTATATCTTTCCGCTTATATAATATCTATTATTACCCGTATCAGACATCTGAGCTGGTCATTTACAAAACCGTATTGCCCTAGTTTTCACTAGCAGTGGGAACGGAGGGGTATATTCTTTGTATTTTCCTTGGTCTCCCTGCGCGTATTGACTTTGCGTGTAGAGACGAGTGAAACTATACATTGGTATTTTCCACGGTCTCGCATCCGCGCACTCTATTGTGACGTAATAATCACACCAAATGCACACTGTTTGTAGTGTATCGAAAATTTTGTCAAGCACTGGATGCACAGTGCTGGTTTGACAAAGTTTGTTCAGTTCTTGAGATTGTCATGGTGGATTTCTGTATTTGCTCTAGATGTCTGATTTGGATAACAATAAAAATATTGACTGGCTTTACTTTCGGGGGATATCAGAAATATTGACCGCGCTAAGACCATATTGCCCTCGTCTTTCGACTCGGGGCAATATGATCTGAGCTTGGTCAATATATCTGATATACCCCTCAAGGCCAGTCAATATTATATAATTATCTCTATCAGCTCGCATCCCTTTTCCTCTCTTCTTTCTCTCTTTGCTTCTTTTTCTTTACTTCATTTCCTTCCCTGTTCTCTCTCTCTCTCTTTCTCTCTCACACACACAAACAAACACACACACCATCGTTCTCTCACTTCCATTAGTATCTTTCTTTTTCATTTGATTCTTTTCTTTCCTGCTTAATTCCTTTTCTTTTTCCTCCCATTTCAAGTTCTAACTTGTTACTACGAGAATATTTTAGTTCTGTGCGTGCAGGGATTAAGGTGCATGCTAGCGCCAGTACGCTTTATTGCACACAAAAAGCCCCCACGGATTTCCGATTGTGCAATCGATGAGTTGTGCAATAAAAATAAAACTTGTGTGTGTGTGCGCGTGCGCGTGCGTATTCGTGTGTGTGTGCGTGCGTGTGTACGAAAATGATAAATACCCCCCAAAAATGTATGTGTGAACTTGGGTGTGTGGATTGGGTGATGTGAGTATGTTTAAATGGCGAGGGGGTGGGAGAACAGACAAACATTTTTTCTCAAGTATACTATTCTTTGATAATATATGAAAAAAAATTCTGAGCATTTTTATGAAAATGTAGTTTTGTTTTCCTTTTGTAATTGCAATTTATGTTTGAGCCAAAATATAAACGTACTGTGCATCCAGCTTTGTTATGAAGAATATGTACAATTTTGTTATGAATGATTTGTACAGTATGTATTCGATTTAAGAGAAGAAAACAAAACACGAATCGACAATTTAAAAATACAAAATTATAAAACACTCCATCCATGGGGGAAGGACAATCAAATTTCCCATTTCTTATTAAGCTTTCTATGAACTCTGCAAGCTATTTCATTCAAGAGATAGGTGGTGGAAAGCGGTTGGCATTATGCAAAAGATAATCTTAAGCAAAGAAAATAAGCTTTTGTTTTTGTTTCTCTAAATTATTATTTGACTTTTCTTTTAAGGGGTAGGGGGGTGGGGAGTGTGGGAGTGTATGATGGCCAAACGATTTCCTAAAAGAGGCATATACTATATGAACTATTTTTCAAAACCGGATAGTAAGCTTGGTGGGTTTCACAAAGGAAGAGGACGGGCCGGGTTTGCCCCCAATATAGCCGCAGAAGGCCTTCATGTCCATAGTTCCGCTAGAATGGGAGGGAATTCCCTCACA